TAATTTCCATAATTGCTTTTTTTTTCAGTTTAATACAAAAGAAGCTATTTTGAAGAATGCTGGTCATTCATTGAACACTTATTGAGCTCCATAGTAGAAGGAACATAATATGGAAGTCAATGGGTTCCAGCTACCAACATTTACAATTTCATCTTTTGTGTTCAACAAAAGAAAGACCCTCAAATAGGTTTTTTAGGGTGAAATCTCCCAATTAGTAATAATAATAATAATAATAACAATAATAATATTAATAATATTAAACATTATTCATTGTTCCTTACAATAATACTCAAAAAGATTGTGCACTGATTAAATTTCACTGTGGGTGAGACTTGCTTAGCGCAGCATTACATAAATTAAAATCAAGCGATTGACAGTCCTGTCAAGGCCACAGCTGATTGGGACAAACTTCAGGCAACCAGTATAGCTAGTGGCAGTCTAGCAGTTAATAAATAAATAAAACGGCATGTTTCTTGCAGAAGAACATTGTAGTTCTCAGTGGGTATGGATATGATGAGTCACACAGGTACCGGGCGACTTCGCAGCAGGGATCGACTCCACACATCTTAAAAACTCAGAATATAAACACTTTTATAGACTCTCTACAGTGATTCAGGATAAAACAAACACAAGGTTTGGAAGATGTGCTGGATCATAAAATACATGGTGTGTTGTGTTATTTACAAAAAAGAAATACCGCAGTTTTAAAGGGATAGCTCACCCAAAAATGACAATTACCTAATTTATTGTTTCTCATATAATTGCTGACCACATAAGGAGATATTTTGAAGTAGGGCTGCTATTCAGTTTCGATTTTGACCTCCAACAATTATGACAAAAACATCATTCATAATTTTAAAACGTAGCTATCAAGATTAAATGATTATTGCATCATATCCCATCCTCTTTCCAGCAGTACGCGTTTGTTCTACTGCAAAGCTCAGTTTCACTTGAAAATGTATTTGTTTCATTCATTGATGGGTATTCAAGGAAGGGCACTTTTTTGTCAGACAGCTCACCGGTCAGGTATTCATCCGTGCTATAATATCAAGGCAAAAGTCAACATAGCTTGCGTAGAAGAAGATCCAGCTCCCAACCCAACTTTGACAATAGATTAACGGCGATATTTTTTATTGCGCGATAAGAGTCAACACGTTAACGCCAATAACGGCCCACCACTAATATATATATATATATATATATATATATATATATATATATATATATATATATATATATATATATATATATATTAGGGATGTAACGGTATCAGAATTTCACGGTACGGTAATACCTCGGTATGAATGTCACGGTACGTTATTTATTGAATCATTTACAGGAAAAAACAAAACTTATGAAAATACTCCAAAAAAGTGCCAAAAGTGTCAATGACATACAAATTAGCCATCTATCTGTAAGCTTTTGAAACAGGAACTTCAATTTTAATAACAAAAAATTATTAAACCATGTAAAAAAATAAAGTTTCAATTTAGTATTGTTGAAAACTCATCACATTCAACATTTAATCACACTCAGCCCATCTACACAGATGAGAGCTCTGCTAGTCGGACTTCTCATCAAGCATCTCCCGCTGGATCTAATCTCACTATATTTATTAAACGGGATATTTCATTTATCTTGTTGTCTTTATCTAACGACATATTCCCTGACTTTGGGCATTGGAATCTATTACTTGTTCTCAGGTAACGTGTTTTGGCTGAGCGCAAAGATAAGTTAATGATTAATGTAACCAATTCTGTATACTGACTGATCGCTTGCCTTCATTTCCTATAATGTATAAACTTATTGTATGTTATACTTTTAAAATGGCCATTATCGATTCTTAAAACTGATACTCAGCAAAAGAGAGGCTGTGTTTCGTATTTTCACTGAAATTGAAAGGAGGCAGTGTTTTTATCGGCTCCGTTTTGTTATAAATATCCACACAGTGAAATTGACGCTCATCTTATGCAGCACGACGCCTCAACATGTCTGCTGTCTAAGTTGCTAATATTAAAATGAAAATAGGCAGTTCCTTAAATCATGTTTACATTTTATTGTTGAGAAAGTGAAACAACGAAGCCAGGGTGATGTGAATGAAGTTAAAGTACACTGTTCCCTTTGAAGATTTACCCGTGTCCTCGGTATAATCTGCTTTTCCATATCAAACTGAGAAGAAGAGACTGCAGCCTTGATCAAACTTGCGGAGTCTGAACTTAAGCAGGTCGCACACCAGAAGCGCCGCTCGGCGCCGCGACACGGCGCGTACATGACAGTTTAAAGTATCGCACACCAGACGCGCACATTCGAATGATATTTAACATGAAACTAATCAGATGGCGCTCTGTGGCGCGGCTGAAAAATGAACTGCGTCCTGAGCCGTCACCGGGCGCCGCCGACAGCCGCCGACTTGCGGCGCCGGTGTGTGTATCCTGATAGAAACCTATGATTAGAATTCTAAAATACATGGCGCTGCGTGGCGCTGCGCGCCGCCGAGCGCCGCTTCTGGTGTGCGACCTGCTTAAAGAGTTTTCCAGCTCTTTTCATCCCCGCTTCTAGCAGCACACTCCATTTCCGCATTACTGGATCTGTAGCGACAACAGACCGCAAGGGATGATGGTCAAGCATGGGCTGATGGCAATTGTAGTTTTCGCTACATCCCGTTCGCTTCATTCGCCTGAGCAAATTTTCTCAGAAGACCTATAGTTTTACCGAGTCATGCGACTTCGGTAATATCGAAAAAAAATAATATTGCGGTATGACGGTATTTACAATACCGTTACATCCCTAATATATATATATATATATATATATGAGCAATATCACACGAGTAGCATGTATATCGGCGGCTGAGTGCCTTAGTGGCCCCATCAGTGCCGATATACAGCCATATCACATTGCTACGAGTGTGATATTGCATTTATACAACAGTTTAACTGCACAATTGTGTATTTAAAAACAAAATCAAACATGGAGAGTCTCAAAAACCCTTTTGAATGAGGAACTACTTTCTTCTGCGTTGGATTCAAATCATAAGCTGTCAGTTAACCCTCTCAAGGCAGGCGTTGCTGATTTGCAACAGTTAAAAGCATAGACTTTGCCTGTTTCCAAAATTTAATTTGAGCCTGAAAGGGTTAAACAGCTGAGCAAGCATCTTTTAAAAATTCTAACGACACTTTAGATCTAAGAAGAAGTGCCGAGTTACTTCATAACTCAATATGTTTGAGGTTGATATTGAGCTCTTTTTCAGCCAACCATGTCTTTAAACAATTTACGGCCTGTACAGTTTGCCGCACAGTGTTGTAGTCATGCCGATTTTTTTCTAAATAGTCCAAATCTGCTGATGAAACAGCTACACTTCTTGCAGTTTGCTCCATTGATGTCGGCTTTTCATCTTCTTCATCTGATGGGCTTTCATAGCTAATATCGAAGGATACGTTCACGAAAAATGTATCATTTGCAATGTCTGTTTTGCTAAACGGATTCGCTGAGACGGTTTGAAATTTTGTATCTTTAAATAGCTTGCTTTGAAATCTTTGCAAGCGGAGTGATACATTATACATGGGTAAAGAAGCTGTATGTATGCTGATATTACCTAAATATCTCACGGCTATTAGCCAATCAGATTCAAGAACCAGACAGAACTGTTGTGTGTATGTATATATATATATATATATATATATATATATATATATATATATATATATATATATATATATATATAGGTTAGGGTAATAGGCAAGTAATTATATAACGATGGTTTGTTCTGTAGACTATCGAAAAAAATATAGCTTAAAAAGGCTAATAATTTTGATCTAAAAATGGTTCATAAAAAAAAAATAAAACTTCTTTTATTCTAGCCGAAATGAAACAAATAAGACTTTCTCCAGAAGAAAAAAACATTATCAGACATACTGTGAAATTTTTTTTTGCTCTGTTAAACATCATTTGGAAAATATTTTTAAAAGAAAAAAAATTCAAAGGGGGCTAATAATTCTGACTTCAACTGCATATAGTTTATAGATCTGTTCTCCAAAACTTTCTACACATATAACCCACTGATAATTGCTTAAGATAACCGTGGCTACAACTATGACTAAAATAATCATGGTTATGGCAGCAAGGTGGCGCAGTGGGTAGCACAATCGCCTCACAGCAAGAAGGTCGCTGGTTCAAGCTCCTGCTGAGTCAGTTGGCGTTTCGGTGTGGAGTTTGCATGTTCTCCCAGTGTTTGCGTGGGTTTTCTCTGGGTGCTCTTGTCCAAAGACATGTGCTATAGGTGAATTCGGTAGGCTAAATTATCCATAGTGTATGTGTGTGAATAAGTGTGTATGGGTGTTTCCCAGTGATGGGTTGCAGCTGGAAGGGCATCCCCTGCATAAAACATATGCTGGATAAGTTGGCGGTTCATTCCGCTGTGTTGACCCCAGATTAATAAAAGGACTAAGTCAAAAAGAAAATAAATGAATGATAATGATTATGATTTTTCCCATAATCGAGCAGCCCTGTTTTGAAGAGCTCTGGTTGCTGGCACCCACTGAGTTTAATAGTAGGAACAAAAAAATTATATAGTAGTCAATGTGTGCAAGCTGCCAGCATTTTTCTTTTTTTTTTCAGAGGAAAGAAACTCAAATAGGTTTTGAACAAGCAAAGGGTGCATAAATAAATTATTCTATTTTTTTTTTTATGTGAACTATTCCCTTTAAACTTTATGTCTGGCTTTATTACATTCCACCTGCTTACACCATGTCACATTCAATTGAAACTATACACAAGAAAGATTTCTATAAACTAAATGTGATGAAGGTCACATGTTTTACTTGGCTTCACTTGTGCTAGTTTTATCTGAAAGAAGTGCTGCGGTAGAACCTTATGATAAACCACACTCTCGTTACACCATTCCAGAGGTCTAATAGAATCTGCTGCCATTTTTCAATTGGACATTTAATTCCAGGAAAGTTGATCGCGCAATCAGTGACAGTATTTTATGTCCTTCTCAGTGGGAGGAAGTGAGCGGATATGATGACCACTTGAGCCCCATCAGGACTTACCAGGTCTGTAACGTGCTGGAGCCCAATCAGAACAACTGGCTCCGTACAGACTTCATTCCCCGTCGAGGAGTCCTCCGAGTCTACGTGGAGCTCAAGTTCTCTGTGCGGGACTGTGGCAGTATTCCCAACATCCCCGGTTCCTGTAAAGAGACCTTTAATCTGTTCTACTATGAATCAGACGGAGACATGGCCACGGCAAGCAGCCCACCGTGGAGGGAGAATCCTTATGTAAAGGTCAGCCACAATAATCACTTGTTTTAGTTTAAGACTTTGCATAATGATACATTTTTACAACGTTTTGCTGAATGGAGGTTTAATTTTAAAGAGAGAAGGAAAATTCTGTCATACTCTTTTGTTGTCACAAACATATCTCTTTGGATAACGATACAATTTTAAAATGCTTTGCTAAGTGGAGGCATTTTTTAAAGGGAAAATTAAAATTATGTCATCTTTTAGACTACTTACTCTTATGTTACTTTTTTATACTCTTATGAAACTTATATCACTTTGCGTAATGGCATAATTTTACAATATTTTGCTTAATGGCTGTATGGTTTTAAAGAAAGAAGTCCTGTCATCATTTACTTCAGGGAGAAGGGGGGGGGGATCCCTGGTCAGTACTACCAAGGTCATAGATATATACACTAGATGTCGCCTGGCCTATTGTTGTCTATTGGACGGAATGCGTCAATAGCGCCGCCATCTTGCTACAGGGTAGCGCTCCTTTGAAATGAATGCGGGACCAATGTACAGTGGAGGACTGTGGCCATCCAAAGCCAGAGATATACACATATATCTATGATCAGGAGTTTTCCTGGATGTTAGTATGTAATTTTTTTTTCTAATTACGAAAATTATAATTTTACATCACTTTTCTACATTGATTGATCAGTGACCGCACGGGCATTCCTGACAAAAAGCTTGTGTTTGTGTGTCCAGAAATTTACTATTCACCCTCCCTGTTAAATTTGATCTAATCATGTCCTGAACCACACCTCCTATCCTGCTTTCACTGCTCATACTGATGGAGGGAGCGATTCGTTTGTGAATGAATCCCCCGTTATGAACGACTCTTTCACTAACGTTAGCCGACAATAATACAAGTTTCTGGCAGCGCAGTATCACGTTGTTATATTTCTTTTGCATTGTTTGCTGATTTTATTCAACAAAACTAGCATAAGCCAAGTGTTTAGTGCGAGTTGGAGCTTCTTTGTCTTATGGTGAATGCAGTAAGTGACTGTTATCATCAATAACGTTACCTGATTAGCACAAAAGTTCAGAACATACAAAACCAGAAAAAAACGTAATATTACCTATGAAATGTTCTGCCTTTGTGCTTTGATTTCTTTGTTTGCTCGTTACTACACCCATAGACAGCGCTAAAGTCCAGCATCTTCACGTAATAACACTGTCTTGTCTAGTGCGGTTGAATGGCATTTGTCCTGGGAGCACTGTACCAATGTGGCGGCGCTATTGACGCATGCTCAGGGCCCCTATGCGATATCTAGTGTATATATCTATGCTACCAAGGTCAGCAATCCGGGGACTGTACCAAAAAGCTGAGGACAGAGAGGAGAGTAAGGGTGAAATTTTAGTTTTCCGGGAGACAGAACAAAACAGGAGATGGGACAGAAATACAGGAGACTTCCAGTAAAAACGGGAGTGTTGGCAGGAATATATAAGGGGTAAGGGGACGCAAACTGTTGACTGGGATCCCTGGTCAGTACTACCAACGTCAGCAATCTGGGGACTGTACCAAAAAGCTGAGGACAGAGAGGGGATTAGGGGTGAAATTTCAGGAGTTTTTCGGGAGACAGAACAAAACAGGAGTTGGGACTGAAATACTGGAGACTCCCAGGAAAAAAGGGAGTGTTGGCAGGAATATATAAGGGGTAAGGGGATGCAAACTGAAGACTGGGATCCTTGGTCAGTACAACCAAGGTCGGCATTCCCGGGACTGTACCAAAAAGCTGAGGACAGAGAGGGGATTAGGGGTGAAATTTCTGGAGTTTTTCGGGAGACAGAACAAAACGGGAGTTGTGACTGAAATACGGGAGACTCCCAGGAAAAACAGGAGTGTTGGTAGGAATATATAAGGGGTAAGGGGTCGCAAACTGAAGTCTGGGATCCCTGGTCAGTACTACCAAGGTTGGCAATCCGGGGACTGTACCAAAAAGCTGAGGACAGAGAGGGAAGTAGGGGTGGATTTTTAGGAGTTTTCCAGGAGACAGAACAAAATGGGAGATGGGACTAAATTACGGGAGACTCCCAGGAAAAACGGGAGTGTTGGCAGGAATATATAAGGGGTAAGGGGTCGCAAACTGAAGACTGGGATCCCTGGTCAGTACTACCAAGGTCAGTAATCCGGGGACTATACCAAAAAGCTGAGGACAGAGAGGGGAGTAGCAGTGGAATTTTAGGAGTTTTCCGGGAGACAGAACAAAAGGGGAGATGGGACTGAAATACAGGAGACTCCCAGGACGGGAGTGTTGACAGGTATGGCGTACTTACTTGAGCTGTATGCCATGTTTACATGTACCTTGTCTAATAGAAGAATGACAGTGGTTGGACCAGATAGTCAGCTGGTTTGGTATGCTGCCAATCGCTGTGCCTATTTATAATAGTTTTAGTTATTTTTATGGCCAAAAGGGCATCAATCTGTTGATGTCAAATGGACTTCAAGGTTTTGTCATCACATCGGTCGACATTTTGATGGGTTTTTAATGTAGTTTTTGACATGTTTTTTGATGACAACTTGATATCATTTTGACATCTAGGTGTCCACTGGGCACTGTGTTCTACTCAGAAGAGCCCATCTCTATATCTATATATATTTTGAAGCAGGCACTCTTGAGAGTATAAAACTTTGCTTTGAAAGTGACTTCTGCGTGATCTTCAAGTAATAGATAATCTTTTTTTATTTTTATTTTTTTAATAGATAGACTTTTTTTATTTTAATGTGTCCAAAATTTCTGAATGACTTGCATGAGTAAATGGTTAAGATTCTGATGGTATGATAACCAATGATTCTAATGAAAACTAACAACTTTTTTCCCCATTGAACACAATATTCTTAATTTTAAGAAATATTTTGGAACGTGTAAGGCTAAATAATTCAAATAAATCATTGACTTCATTAGTTTCGTAAACACAGATTTCTTTACAAATTGAAAAGGCATGTTTGGATATTTTTCATTTCGTTTGATATAAAGTAAGCCACTGGACTGTTCAGGTTCAGAGCAGTCTTGGATGTTGGTTTGTAAGTGATTTGTTTTATATTTTGTTTTCTAAATCGTGAGCTGACCATTTGGTTTTGATGTGGATGGTCCTTTTCTGTACTGCTGCCCTAAAAAAACTACATTTAATAGTTGTAAACACACGGTATAACAGAATGAACTTTGGGTTCATCTTCAATGCATCCTCCTTCATCTTACCCCAGACATGCTCAATAATGTTCATGTCTGGTAACTGGGGTGGCCAATACTGCAGCACCTTGACCTTTATTGTTTTGATATGGAGGCTTTAGTATGAGAAGAAGTGCTATTCTGCTGAAGAATTTGCCCCAACACCATAAAATATTATTGCCCTAAAAATTACATTAAATAGTTGTAAAAACACAGCATAACTGAAAACGTTTGACGTCTTTTCCGAAGCAGTTGTCATCCCATACCTAGTAAATGATGACAGAATTTGTCATGAGAAATGAGGTGCATCCACAGTGAATAATGTTCCCAGTCTTATATTCATGAGCATCCATACTTTCTGTATTATCTCAGGTGGACACCATTGCCCCAGATGAAAGCTTCTCGTTGCTGGAGTCAGGAATCGTCAACACCAAAGTACGGAGCTTCGGCCCTCTTTCCAAAGCTGGTTTCTACCTGGCCTTCCAGGACCTGGGCGCCTGCATGTCTCTGATCTCAGCCCGGGTCTTCTTTAAAAAGTGCTCCACCTCCATTGCCAACTTCGCTGTCTTCCCAGAGACGGCCACTGGCGCCGAGGCCACCTCTCTGGTCATCGCTGCCGGAGCTTGTGTGCCAAACGCCGCCGAGGAATCTGTCCCTCTAAAGCTGTACTGTAACGGAGATGGCGAATGGATGGTTCCAGTGGGAGCCTGCACCTGCATGCCGGGATTTGAGCCGGCCAAGAAGGACACTCAGTGCCAGGGTAAGTGTTTGGCTTCTTAAAATCTGAGCAAAGCGGATTCTGTTTAAAGCTTTTGAGTGTTCGCTGGCAGATGCCACAATATGGATTATAAAATCTGTATGGAAGTGATGCAAAGGTTATGTGCAGGTCAGGGCGGGTTTATTATGCTTGTTTTATGTAGTCTTTGGGAGTGCTAATGTCTTCATTGAGGTAAAGTTGGTTTTATAGTCGCACATTTAGACTTTCTGCTTAATAATATCATTCATTCATTTTCTTGTCGACTTAGTCCCTTTATTAATCTGGGGTCGCCACAGCAGAATGAACCGCCAACTTATCCAGCAAGTTTTTATGCAGCGAATGCCCTTCTAGCCGCAACCCATCTCTGGGAAACATCCACACACACTCATACACTACGGACAATTTAGCCTACCCAATTCACCTGTACCGCATGTCTTTGGACTGTGGGGGAAACCGGAGCACCCGGAGGAAACCTACGCGAAGGCAGGGAGAACATGCAAACTCCACACAGAAACGCCAACTGAGCTGAGGTTCGAACCAGCGACCTTCTTGCTGTGAGGCGACAGCACTACCTACTTCGCCACTGCCTCGCCTGCTTAATAATATCATTTAAGAAAATAATTATTTGGCAATTTAAAATTGACTATCAAATGTACAACGTTGTTCATAGTCAAATAAATAGTCCTAATGTTATTTTGTAAGTCATACTTACATGTGATTTCAGACCAAATAGTCCAAGTGCCATGGTGAAATATAGGGAGCATGTCACATAACGAATGTGCGAATATAAAACTTTACCTTAAGGTTTTAATTGCACTTTGTTTTTCTTGTTAGGATTTTCTTAACATCTAAAATAATTCATCAAAATAGAGTAAATTTAATGGCTTTAATACTGCTTGAATTTTTATATCAAACATAAATATTTTAAAAGGCAAAATTTTAGCACTCCTTGTTCCGTTTCAAATATTTCCCAAGTGCTGTTTAACAGAGATTATTTTCAACACATTTAAATAATTTCACATAATAACATTAAATTATTTGTGTCCTTTGTCATGATGACAGTACTTTACCTGACAAAAGTCTTGTGGCCAATCCAAGATTTAGGAACAACTAACAATAACTTGACTTCTAGTTGATCATTTGGTATCAGAAGTGGCAAATATGAAAGGCAAAGGCCTCTAGATTACGCTTATTTGACCAAAATAAAATATGATCATGCCTTGATTTTAAATTATTTAATTAGGACATAAGGTCTGACTTTCTTAGACAAAAGTCTTGTCACTTAACAGAAATAATGTACAGTATAGAATATAACGTACGTTATACGTACGGAAAATGACCAGCTAAATCCAGCTAAAACCAGCTTGACCAGCCTGGTTTAAGCTGGACATAGCTGGTTTTGGCTGGGCTCCCAGCCGGGCTAAGCTGGTCAAGCTGGTTTTAGCTGGTCATCTCCCAGCCTGACCAGCTAAGACCAGGCTGGAAATGGCTGGAAACCAGCCTGGAAATGGCTAAAACCCCTCTAAAACCAGCCTGGTCGACCAGCTAAAACCAGCCAACCAGCCTAGGCTGGTTTAAGCTGTTTTTTTCAGCAGGGAGGCGACCATTAACTGTTTTCATAGAGGATGACAAGCTGAAAAAGCATTGCTGTCGCTCTGATACAAGTTTTATAAGTGGAGAAAAGTACAAAGCACTGCAGTGTTGGTGTGTTCTGTGTTTGAGAAAACTAATATTACCGAAATGTGAATATTTCATACAAGCTGAAGCTGATCGGTCAATTCTTGTCACATGACTTGCGGTGCGTTCGCTGCTTATCCAGCACGTTTTTACGCAGCGGATGCCATTCCGGCCGCAACCCATCTCTGGGAAATCACTTGGCCTTTTCCCCTTGGCAAAGAAGCTTTCCAAAGATGTTTGTTTTCCACTCATTTTGCTGCTTTTGGGTTAAATTTGGGCGCTAAAGTGATCGAGATATAAGCGAGAGAACATGGTCATTTTTCAAAATAAAAGACTTTTCAAAATAAAAGATCGTTCAGACTCAAAAAACAATAAAGCAGAAATAATTAATGATTTCTTGTGCAGCCCCAATTGATCCACAGACAGTGTCAAGATTACCAGCGATCATATCCCATAAGATCGCTGGTTTGCACTAACAACAACTCATGGACTACAAATCTGCCATTTCTGGACTACATTTTCATACATGCACTCCGGTCACACTCACACATGCTTCCTAATCTAGACTGATTACTCACACCACCTGAGGATTGTCAGAGACTGATTGTACACACTATTTAAGACTCACCTATTCAGTTTGCTGAGTCTTGTTTGCAATCAGTGACTTTACAATGCGTTTACCTTGTCTTGTTTCCCCGTGTTTCTACGTAGCTTTGTATTCCTATTCTGCTGCCTGCCTTTTGACCTATTGCCCGTATATTGACTACGAATCTGGACTGCCTGCATATACCTGTTTACACCTGTGTTGACCATTGCGTGCCTGACAAAGAATAAACCTGCATATTGGATGTTACCTTCAGTTGTATGTGTCATTCCCTGGCGTTACAGACAGATGGTTGAGGACCACTTAGCTAGGGGATAAAATGAACTAAGGCAACATGATCATTCTCCTAATCGTCCATTGCTAAGAAATTTAAAAAAATGACGCGACTCCGCTCAAACCTCCTGAGGCCCCCTTGTGGGCCGGGACCCCCGTGTTGGGAACCGCTGCAGTATGATATTGCACTTTAACTCATTTATAGCCATAATCCATTAAAAAAATCATTTTATCATGATGTACTTTTCCGTAGTAAACAATGATGTCTAAATGTGTTCATGTCTTGTGAGGACAACATTAGCATGAGTAAATGGAGACAGCATTTGATGATTTCGGATGAACTCTCACTCCCTTAAAAGTCATTCTGACACGCTTTTTGATTAGAACTATGATTGACTGCATTGATCATCTCGAGAGCATCTGCGCCTCAAAGTGAAAGGCACAAAGATCATTTAAATCACCGTATTGCATTTCCTTTCTGTAGTATTACTTTTCAAAGTGTCTAAGATGTTCTGTGCCTATCATGAAGAACATTAGTATTTAGAGAGATGAGACAGAGAGAAATGGGAAAGTCTGTGCGTGTGTTTGTATGTGTGTATGTACTTGTTATTATATCCTGCTGAGGACTTAAACCTGATTGCACACAAACTAATTGGGATTATGTCACTATGGGGACCTAAATTGAGGTTTCCCGTGCGTAAACATGCTTGTAAATTATACAGAATTGAAATATTTTAGTTAGAATACATTGGGGATAGAATGCACAGTCTGTACAGTAGAAACATCATGTCTATGAGAGCCCCCACTGAGATATATGAATAATTCTCTGTGTGTGTGGGTGTGTGTGGCTTGTTTGTGAGAAATACAGTGAGTTTTATAGAGTTTCAGTGACAATATTTTTAATCAACGTGACATTTTTTACAATTTTTAAGTCTTATATGTACTGTAGCTTGGCGTAAAATGTTGTGATAGTATTGTGTTGTGAGTTCAGTAAAGTGAAATTGCATTTAATAGGGACATGAATGTATTATTACACCTCTAATAAATGTAAACACTCACCGGCCACTTTATTACGTACACCTTAGTAGCACCTGGTTGGAGCCATTTTGCCTTCAGAGCTGCCTGAATCCTTCGAGGCATAGATTCAACAAGGTACAGGAAATATTCCTCAGAGATTTTGGTTTATATTGACAGGATAGCATCACACACTTGCTGCAGATTTTTCAGCCTCACATCCATGATGCGAATCTCCCGTTCCACAATGATGCTTTATTGAATTGAGATCTGGTGACTGTGAAGGCCATTTGAGTACAGTGAACTCATTGTCATGTTCTAAAAACTAGTCTGAGATCATTCACGCTTTATGACATGTCGTGTTATCCTGCCGGAGGTAACCATCGGACGATGATTACACTGTGGTCATAAGGGGATGGACATGGTCAGCAACAATACTCAGGTAGGCTGTGGCATTGACATGATGCTCAGTTGGTACTAATAGTCCCAACGTGTGCCCAAAGTGTGCAGGCAACTTTTTCCCAATCTTCTATTGTCCAATTTTGGTGAGCCTGTGCCTCAGTTTCCTGTTCTTAGCTGACAGGAGTAGCACCCGGTGTGGTCTTCTGCTGCATCTGCCTCAAGGATGGACGTGTTATGCGTTTAGAGATATTCTTCTGCCTATATTGGTTGTAATGAGTGGTTATTTGAATTACCCTTCTATCAATTAATTAATTGAGTAGTTAATTGAGTTGCCCTTCTATCAGCTTTAAACCAGTCTGGCCATTCTCCTCTGACCTGTGGTATCGACAAGACATTTGCGCCCACAAAACTGCCACTCACTGGATATATTACATTTTTCATAACATTCTCTGTAAATCCTAGAGATGGACGTGTGTGAAAATCCCACTAGATCAGCAGTTTCTGAAACCCTTAGACCAGCCCGTCTAGCACCAACAACCACGCTTGGTTTGAATGGTCCTTACCGTGTCTACATGCCTTAATGCATTGAGTTGCTACCATGTGATTGACTGATTAGAAATTTGCGTTAGCTAGCAGTTGGACGGTTGTACCTAATAAAGTGGCCGGTGAGTGTATACTGTATGGTAATACAGCTAATTTTATAAACACAACATCCCTTCTTAAAAAGATCTTTCACCCAAAATTAAAGGTTTGTCATGATTTACTCTTGATTTCCCAACCAGTTTTTTTTTTGTTTTTGTTCTGTTCTCCTGAACACAGAAGAAGATACTTTGAAAATGTTGGAAACCTGTAACCGTTTACTTCCATTGTATTTGTTTTTGCTGGATGTCAATGGATACAGAATTCCAACATTCTTTTGTGCTCAACAGAACAGAAAAACTGGTTTGGAACAAGTAAAGGGCTGAGTAAATGATGTTTATTTTTAGGTGAACTATCCCTTTTATTAAACCAAAAGTTTAATAAAATATGATTGACTTCTTTCCCATTTAATAACACTAAATCAGCATCCATTTGAAAGTACATGCATCGATTGCTTTAAGGAAACTTTTATGCCGCTGTTTAGTGGTTTTGGACCTCCACAGCCCAATTCATTTTATTAAACACGCACGCTAGCCAGGACATTCTGCAGCATTTGTATTCCAGACAAGAAAGAAGTCATACGGGTTTGACGCGAGCAGTGTTATAAGACCATTCATATAATTAGCTTTCGCTTTAAATTCCGAGGGTTGAAGGGCCAGAACTGCTAATAGGATTTTTAGGTCGAATTTGAAAAGGCCAGAATTTTAAGAGCTCGACAGGCTAGAACGGCCTGCCAGTCCAAAAATCTGGAGTCCGGAACAGAGAGAAACAATGCGCTAGTACTGATCCACAGTCTCCCCGCAGACCTTATCTGGGCTCAGCACAAGAGGAAAGAGAGAGAAAGAAAGAGAGAGAGAGAGTCTCAGTAATGGGTGGAGGACTGCAGTGGTGTCAGAGAACAAAGCTGCCAACAGCGGCAGCCCACAGCTTCCACTGACACATCTGATAGGGTCCTAACAGAGCGATAGACCAGAGACGGATGCTTCTGCAGAAGGCCAGACCAATTCTCAAATGCGAGTCCGGGAGAGTAATGGGCAAAATTAAAAGATAGACTACAGAGAGAGAGGGGGAGTGTGAACGAATGATGAGGTGGGCCCTGAGTAATAAAATGTGAATTGGACGGGGCCTCCTGGACTGTAGGAACTGGTGGACAAGAGGGGAACTTCCTTTGAGATTGCCAGTATGTGGCGGCTCATTTGTTTCCATCTGGTTGTTCAAGGTTAAGAGCTTGCCTTAAAGGACTGATAAACGACTCTCCCGGGCTGCGCGCTATACAGCCGTGAGATGCACCGTGGCCAATGGAGAGTGCGTCTAATTTCCTTTATCACCTTCCAGCTTTAATCCACACACACACACACAGTGAAGGGAAACAGCCAAGCCCAGTTAACATTTATCTGTCAGGTTGGGCATGTTCTTTCTCTGTCTCTCTCTTTTTCTGTCAGAGCTCTTTTCATTTTATCCTCGCTCTGAATACGTAATGCCACGCGTGTTAAGATTGAGAGCAGAGGCCACTTGCTTGGATTTTCCACTGTCTTATTACGCTAGCCGTGAAGTGATATGTGTCATGGGAGGAATACTGAAGACCATCTTTTTTTTCTTCTGTTTTTGCTATAATTCACCTGCGGTGTCACAAGCAGGACACATGTCTCCGCGCGGCCCCCATTAGCTGCAGTGTTTTGTGAGGGGGAACGGGTGTGGTGGGTTGTTGTTTACAGGAAAAGCAGAGCTTTGTGAAAGCAGCAGATTCCTCAGCCAGACTGTTACATCAGCCATTTTCTTCCAAAAGAGACTGACTGACTGGAGTGCGTCATTATAGCACAGTCTGGCCTCGACGGGGTGGTTTGAAACCAACTTTGTCTAATTTTATACTTTCAGTGATTTTATTCATTTAAAAGTTTGGTCCCACTTTATATTAAGTGGCCTTAACTAATATGACATTAATAGTTTGGATTTAATAGTTTGTTACAATGTACTGATTGTGTAAATACATGTATTTATTGTGTACTTATGCTTGATTAAATACCTGTATGTAATTAGATCTATAATTAACTTCTGTATTTACATTTGTAAATACACTGCTGACCATTCCCTACACCTTAACCCACCCTTAAACCTACCCATACCACCAAACCTGTCCCTAACCCAACCCCTATCCCAACTCAAGAGCACCACAAGTGTTCTCAAATACTTTATGTACACAGTAAGTACATTGTATTTATTTTTGATGTAAGTACATAGTAGTTAAGGACACTTTAATATAAAGTGGGACCAAAAGTTGAACTCTAATAACATAGGATATAGGAAAACTATAATTTTCTTGGTAATGCAGCCCATAAATGTATAGCTAGGCTATGTTAGAACACAGGTGAATGTCCTCAACTCACAGTTAGTTTCACTTTCTCAAGCAGAGAAAGCTTATTCCAAGCCCTGAACATGCTGTTTTGAAAAACAAATCTGAAGTAAAGTTATGCTTTTGACAACAGAAAGTTATGTTTTTGATTGCAGGACAATGCTAGGCAACAGAGGTATGCATATTTAAAGTCACGGGGAAAGATAGCAGACAGTTGAAATGCATGCGGTCATTTTGGTAGTTCTATGTAGAAATAATTATAGCTCTTTTGTGTTTTGTAATTTTACGAGGGGTGTGGGCGGGACTGTGACTTGCGCCTCCATGGCCGCTGGACTGGTTGGCTTCACTCATCGGATTGTTTTCCATATCCCCTGTTCCCATCCCCTGTGTCAATGTTGTGTCTTGCCGGTGTGCTTATGCTAAGATTGGGCTGTTTTTCTCCCTGTTCTCACTTTGCCCTAATCAAGGGCAAGCTGTTTTTTTTTTTTTGCCTAACTGTCCAGATGTATTTTACTTCCCTTCTAAATGCTACCTCCTATGACCTGTCTCCCCTGAAAATTGTGATGTTTGTGTATGGTCGGGGGGTTCAATTTTACTATACAAAAGTGTATGTGACAAATAAAGGCCTGATTTGATTTGATGTTGATTAAATAGCAATGTTCGGCGGCCATCTTTAAAACGCCTTTATGGCAGCATTTTCGGGTATTCTGTCTGTATGGTTAAACTTAAAATCAAATTCTCCAAAACTGTCTCATAAGTTTCGTTTCTAAACATTCGAATCAAACATAATCTGCATTTTGTCTGATTTTCCGAGTTAATGTGCATGTGCACTCGAAAGGAACAAGATCACAACACCGACCTCATTTATGGCCATTCTACTAGGGATGTCAAAATGAATTGTTTCTTCGGTGCACCGCGATGCAGACGCTGACAATTCAGTATTGGTTCAGTAATAATCATTATCGGTTATTGCGTACTGACGTTATATATATCATATGCTTACTATGGTAAGGGAGGCGAGCGTGAGTATTTACAACGCTCTAACTGTATGCGGTCCTTTAGTGACAGGAAAATATGGCGAAAAGTCTTACATGACGTTAATAGTTTGATTGCGGTGTTTACTTCAATAATGCCACTAATTTAAGCATACTCCACAGGTCTTAATTAATTTCTTTCGCCTTTAAGTAATCAAAAATCGCAGTTTTAAGCTTATACAGTTCAAAATTCATGTTTAACTGAATAAACAGTTAGTAAACACAAGTCCATCTTATTGAACATCATTTATTTTCATCACCGATTATCAGTTTCTCAAGCTGTTTGTGATGCATTTTGGAAACAGGAGATGGGCCCCTGGTCTAATGCGCCACCTGGCTTGAGAAACCCGTTCTCAAAGACTGACTTTTAGTCATTATTTGGGCAGCACACATATTCTGAATGCCTTCAGCAGAATTCAAATGAGCCATTTTAATCTAGATTAATCCAGATTAATTTTAAGATTACAGTGAGATTAATCCAGATTAAAAAAATAATTTATGCCCACCTATAGTAAATACATTAACATTCATGTATTTTAAAGTGTTATCATTTAATAAAAAAAAATTGCCTTAATGTAACTGTAACACTCCATTTTTTTCCCTTTGTTGGCTTTTAGCGTGCACTCCAGGGACCTTTAAGTCCAAACAGGGTGAGGGTTCTTGTATGCCGTGCCCTTCCAACAGCCGAGCCAGCTCTAGGGCATCCAGCGTGTGCCCTTGTCAAAGTGGCTACTACCGCGCTGACAGCGACCTCCCTGACACGGCCTGCACTAGTAAGTGATGATCATCAGTGGCACCTTTTTAAGTGAATTATATGTTGAAAAGGTCTGTTCTGTGCATTCAACCTGATTAACGTGGCAACTAATGACACGGAAAAGCGTGTTGCTAAAAAGGTCACGATCGCAACGTAAAACCAACCGCTTCATAAAGCATGCAATTAAGACTGGTTAGCTTCGGCGCTGCTCAATCTTGACACATGGATTTAATTGGAAATATCACACGAGTTTACACATTGATGCAATGGGTTGCAAAAGCCTCTCATTTGCAGGTTTTCAAGAAACTTTAATGTTATTTGAGTATTTAAAAAGGTATTCAAAAAAGGGGGATTGTTTTCTTTTACAGTAATTATAACCCAAGCAGTTCCTTAGGCAGTTGTGCGATGAAAATCCAGTCTCTGGATTTAATTAGCTCACATCGCCTCAATTCGCTGAGCAAGATTCATTGGTTATTTCTGACCCTCACGACTTAACTATGGGGTGCATTAGAAATCCCAGTAAGACCTTTTTTGGAACAAATACGCAGGAATAATTAGATAATTTAACCACTGACTTTGACTTTAAAACCTCCTCGTTTGGAAATAAGAGTTGGATTACTGTCTAACAACCTAAAAAGAGGTACTTTTTATTCCTGACTAAACATGCACTGTGGAATATATTAGGAGAACGCATTGCTTCAAGACAAATGTACACTCTTTAAAAACAAATCAAAAAAGGGGTTTCAACTTGAGCACGTCATGATTTTACCAAGTTCGATGCGATCCTGGATTAACATCTATGTTAATCCTGGAACATCATTTTTGTTCGAAAATGTAATCCATACCTATTTCCTACTGCTAAACCCAACCATAACTCTAAATTATTCCTAACATCAGAAGGGAATAATACCAGGGTGCAAATTATACATTGACGATCAGTGGGGTCAAGTTTTTCGATTATGTTTGGTAATATGTCTCAGTGAACCAAATTTATAGATTTAATTTAATTACATCTAATTTATTAATCAAACTTGTTATTATGTTTTCAGTGTTTTGAGGGATATTAAAGCCCAATCCCAATTCTACTTTTTCCCCTGGCCCTAAAAAACAAGTGAAATGAAATTGGACAGCACTACAGCACCTGCACACTTCATCATATGTCATCCTGATCTCTTGCTTCATATAAGATCAGACGATCGTGACTGATGTAGTTATTCCAGTTGCTTTATTTTTTTGGTATTTATCTTCAAGAAATCACTGAAGGCATATATTATAACGATGATATATATCGTTATCATAACGATCTAAAGTGGCATTAAGATCGTAGCTATAACGTTACTGCACATTTACACAGTGGCCAAAAACAACACTAACATTGTAGCAGACACTGTAAAAAGCTCATTCCCAGCCACTAGACTATTCTGACAGGGTATTCAAGTGTCATTGAGTGTCAGTATGTGTTGGCACAAACGCGGTTATGAATATAGTAAAACATGTGCTTGTTTGTTGTAAAAATTTGTAATAATAACAAAAAAATACTGCCGTTGTGGCTGGTGTATTCTGGGAAATTTTCTTACCCCTTGGTTTCGAGTGTGGTCCTGAAAAATCTTTGTTCGAAAGGCTATTCACCCCTTTTCCTTTAGCCCTACGCCTTCAAGCTAAAGCCAAACGGAATCTGCGGACGTTTTTTGCTATTTCTGCTGAGAATTTTGGTAAAAATCTGCGGATTTCTGCTGAATTATTTTGGGAGTATCCAGCGGAGTATCATAACTAAAACCTTAATATATGAAATAAAAAGTAATCAATTACTAAATAAAAACTGAATAAATTCAGATTTACACATTTACTCAAGTAAATAAACAGAATTAAGGATGGGCTAAAAATCTGCAGAAATTCCGCAGATTTCTGCAGAATTTTGCACGGGCAGATTCCGTTTGGGGCTTTGCTTGACGTGAACTCGCAAAACGAGTGGTAGGGGTAAGGGGAAGGGCTAAGAGGTAGAATTAGGATTGGCCCTAAGTGGTTCTCAATTTGTGATATATATATATATATATATATATATATATATATATATATATATATATATATATATATATATATATATATATATATATTCTGATAATCACAAAGTAAATCAGAATTGCATAATATTAATGAGAAAATTATGAGAAAACAAGTTCAAATTCTGAGGTAAAAAGTCACAGTAACCTTTTTTATTTTTAATTCAGTGACGGAAAGAGTTTCCCTTTCCTTAATTTAATTACTTTTATTTATTTATTTATTTATTTATTTATTTATTTATTTATTTATTTATTTATTTATTTATTTATTTATTTTACTTTTATTTATTTTTTATTTATTTATTTATTTATTTATTTATTTATTTATTTATTTATTTTACTTTTATTTATTTTTTATTTATTTATTTATTTATTATTTATTTTAGAAATCAGGGATTTTAAATTAAATGTGTATGTGATTTATTCAATCATACTTCCAAACAGTAAAAAAATGTTAATATGTGTTTAATTACTTTAAAGAGTAACATCTACCTAATTTATCCCATAAAATGACAGAAGTAATATTTTGAACTGGAACAGAGCCATTTAATTTAGCTCACCATTTTTTTTTTTCACTGCCTAAAAATCCATTTTCTCCTTAGCTGTTCCCTCAGCTCCATTAAACGTGATCTCCAGCGTCAACGAGACTTCGGTGTCCCTCGAGTGGTCCGAGCCTCGGGATTCGGGCGGTCGAGGGGACGTGGTGTATAACGTGGTGTGTAAAAAGTGTCTTCACGATGGTGGCTCTTGTGCGCGCTGCGATGACAATGTGGAGGTCTCGCCGCGTCGCCTGGGTCTGGCAGAGAGGCAGGCGGCAGTGAGGAATCTGCAGGCACACACACATTACAGCTTTGAGATTCAGGCTGTGAACGGCGTGTCCCCCAAGAGCCCGTCCAGCCCACAGTACACCACTGTCAATATCACCACCAATCAAGCAGGTGAGAGACTCATTTTCAATCATCTAAGGAACTACACCGTACGACAAATCTGTTCATTAACGCTTCTGTATTTGTGTGTCTTTCCTTTATTCACAATTGTAAATTGCATTATGGGGTCTTGATCTCTGCTCTGTCGACTTTTGATGTTGAAAATTCAACTCTACAGTTTAACAAAGTGACTTTTATTGACTTTTATTTTAGTAGCTTTGAGATAATATAATATTTAATAAATAATTTATAGAGAAATAAGTCTTTAAAATAACAGAAAATGTACTGGCAGTTTATTACAAGATTTTGTAGCATATTATACAACACCAACCCAGACAATATATATAACTTAAAACTATTAAAAATGTTAATAAACATCACATTTTTTCGAACTTTCGATGGTTAAAAGTTGTTGGAAGAAAGACCAAGGTAGGACTGCATTATATTGGAAAAATCTAACAATATTTTTTTATTCTGCGATATACTGTTGAAGTCAGAATTATTAGCCCCCCTGAATTATTAGGCCCCCTGTTTATTTTTTCCCCAATTTCTGCTAGGTTACGTAGGCAGGTTAGGGTAATTAGGCAAGTTATTGTATAACGATATTTTGCTCTGTAGAGTATCGGGGGAAAAATAGCTTAAAGGGGCTAATAATTTTGACCTTAAAATGGTCTTTTAAAAATTAAAAACTGCTTTTATTCTAGCCGAAATAAAACAAATAAAACTTTCCACAGAAGAAAAAACATTATCAGACATACTGTGAAAATTTCCTTGCTCTGTTAAACATAATTTGAGAAATATTAAAAAAAGAAAAAAATCAAAGTGGGGCTAATAATTCTGACTTCAACTGTATATTGCGATATAAATACAGTTTTACCTTGAATATCTATTTGGAAATAATTCATCATTTTAGATTGATTAGGGTTATTCTGCAGTGGCTTTCCATAAAATATAATAAACAATCTGCAAGCATAGAAAATTTCAATAAAGAATATACTCAGCTTTTATTGCTTGCTGAGGAGTCTTACTGTATTCAGCTACACAGTAACTGAATAATCACATTTAAAATAACACTGCATAGTATTTGTTGTATAAACAAATCAATGAAATATATTGTTAGTAAAGTAAAAATGACACAATTTTCTATGCCTGAGTGCTTTTAAAATCTTCATACAGTCACATGACTCAAAAAACCTTTGCAAAATGATCAATTACAATACAGACTCAGCATTGCAGATCCTGCGATGTGACTATTGCGAATGTTTACATTGCGATATTGATGCTGCAATGATTTATTGTGCAGCCCTAGATCATGGTCCCATAATGCAACTTAAAAGCATCAATGAATGGGGAAAAATTAAATGTGAATAACAAAATATAGAGAGCTGCTAGTTTTTGGATATTTATCACAGTGTAGTAAACCACTAGATCCTGTTCTTATTGCCCTCCAATAAGGAAGTAAAAGATTTAAGTGGGTTATTGCTTTCATAAAATGCTGGGTCAGTGATGAATTAAAAAAATCTATAATAATAAAGTTAGGTTTGTTTAAAACACATGTCAAGTTCTTTAAAATGTTTAGAGGGTATTGGCAATGTTGTTGTTGTTGTTGTTGTAATTCAAGCAGTTTTCAATATATCTAATGACATTTTTTATAATTGTGTGAATTATAGACAAAAACTCAATATTACATCAACATTAAATTAAAAATAAACCTAAATAATATTATATGTTTGTTTTAGAAAGTTTTACAAGATGTTTGTTTAGCAAAATCACACATTTGCTTTTGAAATATTAAAGTTAAATTTAAAGGAAAATCTGTAATTATCATTACATTTACACCAAATCAGAGTTGATCTTACATTTTCATGAAAATTATCAGATTCAGATCATCAGATTCTATATTATTTAGGCTGTCAGCGGGGTCTTAAAATCTCTTAAATTTCAAAAACTAAATTTTAGGTCTTAAAAAGTCCTAAATTAACTGAAATATCATCTTGTTGGTCTTGAACTATTTTAAATGGGTTTTAATTTTTCTTTTTGTATGAAAAGTTTGAACAAAGCATTGTATCTCAATAAAACGTTTAGTAAAAAACATATTTATACGAAAAAATTTTATGTCTGCTGTGCATACATTTAAATATATATATTTTTTAAAGTTTTTTAGTTATATTGAAAAAAAAAATAGAATGGTAACAACTGGGGTCTGTTTGTTTTTACTCAATATTCAAAGTATGTGGTTAAGAAATAAGTAACTAGAATTTGTTTCTTTTTTTTTTTTTTTTTTGCTGGGCCATTTAAAAAAAAATCCTTAGCGTTTAGCCCTATATAAGTCTGAAGTTTCATTCTTGTTGATCTTAAAAATATTTGAAAAAGCTTTAAATTTAACTTTGCGAAACCTGCAGAAAACCTGATTATTGATTATTGACATAATCATTAGGTCAAATAATTAATAATTATGACAGTTATCAGTTTTTCCCATTTTTAAAGGGCACCTATGATAAAAATCAACTTTTGTAAAGCTGTTTGGACAGAACTGTGTGTAGGTATAGTGTTAGAAACACAATAAGCGTCTTTTTTTTAGATTTCCTGACAATAAAAAAGGGTCCAAACCCCTCCCATTTTGAGACCCACCGCAACGTAACATACGAATGTGGGTTTCCCTGCCCACACATTTGACATACTTGCAATAACAAGACTTGCAATGCGTATAATCATATCCACAAGACAGGACGTGCGCAAACTGACTGGGATTAAAGGTTCTATTCAGCTCTCTGTGATCATCAATCATCATTAAATGTGATGTGAGAATTAGTTTTACAACTTTAAAACATTTTTAAAACAGTGCATGTTTGTAATAAGGACAGTAAAATTGCTCTGTAATTCATCACCACAACCGCATAGTGTTAGTACAATCCTAAAAGAAGACGCTTCAATCCCCATTTGGGACTTAAATCAGATTTCTTTTGTACATTAACATAGCAGCTATCTATACAGCAGTGGATATTAAAGTGTATTCTGTCACATTTGCCATGCAAAAACAGTGCAAAGTTAGATGTGTTTGTGTGCACTTGCACAAGAGCGATCTTTATAACAACAGAGTGTGTGACTCATCATTGCAGAAAGGCTTGAATTAACTCCACAACAAATATAGCAAATTGGGAAAGTTCTTACTGTAGTATGGGAAATCTGCTTCATTCGTGTCTGTCACTGTGCTGTTTATCTATGTGAAGTTGACGGCTCTGGCATGCACGTGGGAATGGTGGGCAGAGAGAGCCAGCTCATTCGCATTAAAGCCACAGGCAAAAAAAAAAAACAGCTACAATGTTATCACAGCACAAATTTCCCAGATTTAAAAAGATATAATAAATGATCAGACGGGGGGGGTTGAGCTGAAACGTTACAGACACATTCTGGAGACTCAAAAGATTTATATTAAATTTTGAAAAATGGTTAAAATTGGTGCCCTTTAAAAAAATTCTCGCTCCTTCAATTAGGTATTAAAATACTGAAAAATGAACCACTAAATAAAAAATTTAACTTAATTAAGTAATGAATTTATCCTTTTATAAATGTTCCTGTTGTATCACTCTAGTGTTTTTAAATGACTTATTATAGTATGTATGAACTCAAAATGAATGAATAAAAAAATCAAATAGCAGGGTGATAAAAAATATTCAATCTGTTGTACAACAACTTCATTTATTGAGCACGTTACTCAGAATAATCATCTCTTGCAAACTTGTATTTTAATTAGACTGAAACACGGCAGCGCAGGGTATTTCCCTTCAATTCCAATTTCAGTCTTTCCGTTTCTATCATGCGATTTAGGATTTTATTTCCCTGCTGCCTGCGCAATAAGAACAGACTAGAGACCCATTTGTGGATCACGACCCACCACTGAAAAGTCACTGCCGTAATCTGCTCTTATTCTAATATAGACTTTGTCCTTTTTTTCTCTTCTCTCTCCATCTCTCAAACACCTCCAGCTCCGTCAGCAGTCCCCACCGTCCACTTAATGCGGGCCACAGCTGGCACTCTCAGCCTCTCCTGGCTGCCCCCAGAGCAGCCCAATGGCGTGATCCTGGATTATGAGATCAAGTACCAGGAGAGGGTGAGGAACTGCTGTGCATCTAAATCACCCCCTGACTGAAGAACTCTTGAACCCGAGCCAGATGACATTACACCAGGCGCCCAGCATGGGTTTAACTGGCGTGAGCTCAAAGTAACCCTGGCTCGACTTAAAGTGGAGAACAATGGAACAACAGATGGCTACCGGTCAAACCCCAATGGCTAATGCTAAAAAGAGTGGCGCTTAATTCGCCTGTAGGATTTACTTGGGTGTTTGGGTGTTGCTTTTGTCTTTTCGGATACTTTTGATCCGCTAATTGCAGTGGAAACTTGTTAGCTTAACATTCACTTTAAGCACTGAATGACTTGAGAGTGTTGTTTTGGCTAAAGGAACTATATGTGTGTGTGTTTTCCTCAGGGAGAGTCCTTCTCTCATACGGTCACAGCTCAGCACACTTCTGCCAAAGTGGAGGGTTTGAAGGCTGGCACGGTGTACTCTGTGCAGGTTCGAGCTCGGACGGTAGCTGGGTATGGACGGTATAGCAACCCGGTGGATTTCAGTACAAGTCTTTATGGTGAGGATGTTGATGTTTTCTTTTTTGGCATCTGGTACTGTGTGCAACGTTTTTAATAGGCCAAACCATGTAAGGCTACTTATAGGAAAGGGAAGTCTTCAGATCTTAACCCTTGTGTGCTGTTGGGGATGTTTTAATGATTTTGAGTCTCATCATTGAGACTCAACAATGCTCTCTTGGCAAATTTACTGCCCTTTCGTTTTGTTAGTGGTGGTTTTTGCCCCATTGACTTCCATTATAATGACATGTTTTGATTGCAAGCCATAAAGCTAACACAGGCTCATTCTGAAAACGTAGTCCCGCGAACGTTTCTGGAGATTGCGAATTATGTAGCCTGAGGTACGTATGGCTGCATTTAATTTTTTAAGTGAACGTTGAGGGGCGGTATGATGCCATTCCTTTTGGCACTTACTGGCTGACCGCTTACCTCTGTGTGGACGGCTTTCCCGCCGCAACCAATTTATCCAGTTAGCTCGTCAAGTACGTCTGTGCACTTGAGATGCAGAGAGGAGTTGACTACGACGACGACTGGGTTTAAGTCCAGAGAAGAGCGGTTTCAGAAATCAGGTAAGATAAAAACAGAATCTAAAAAATGAAACAAGCGAGTGAACAACAGCGTGAGAATGAGGTAAAATCTGAAAACGTGGTAAAAATCAGACGAGGGCTTTTCTCTTTCTTTTTGCTTTTATAAACCGTCGGTTGGGTTTAGGGAAGCAAGCAGGCAGGCTGGTCAATCTGTAAAATTGGTTGGGTTTTGGGAAGGAAGAGGGTGGGTAGGTCGATTGGCCAGTTGCCCAGTCAATCATTCAGTCGGTCGACAGCAGCCTCTAATGGTGTAACCCCATGGAGTGACACATACAACTAAGGTTTGGATCCAAATGCATGTTTAATCAGTGGTCAGGCAAGCAACGGTCATCACAGGTGCAAACAGGTATATGCAGACAATCCAGAATCGTAATCGAAGTAACAGGCAAGAGGTCAGAAGGCAGGCGGCAGACGGAGACAAAAGGTAAACAAGGCTGAGGTCGAAACACAGGAAAACTAGACAGGAATAACGCGTTGTAATGTCATCTACAGATAAACAAGACTCGGCAAAGTGAATGAGTGAGTGTGTAGCTTAAATAGTGTGTGCAATCAGTCTCTGACAATCCTCAGGTGGTGCGAGTAATCAGTCTAGATGAGGAAGCATGTGTGAGTGTGACCGAAGTGCATGTATGAAAATGTAGTCCAGAAAGGGCGGATTTGTAGTCCATAGTTATTGTAAATGCAATCCAGCGATCTTATGGAATACGATTGCTGGTAATCGTGACAGATGGGTTTACGAGAGAACAGCGCGGTCGCGAATGGCACTCGCGAGAGACATTTGAGATGCGAAAAAGCACACACAGCAGCCTAGGCGGATTCACAAAAACAAAAACTGCAAAAATGCATACCTCCTGGGAGGTATTTTGCGGTCTCCAGAAACGTACACAGGGCTACATTTTCAGAATGAGCCTAGGTTGCATAAAGCCATCCAAAGCCATGCATTTTGAAAAAAAATTATTCATGATTTTATCACCTCTAGGTTGGATTAGTGGAACTCGTTATATATTTTTTGATTAGCCAGACAACTTAGTTTAATATTCTGCTGCCATTTTTTTTTACCAGAACCAAAAAACATGACCACATCACACCAGTCTTACACTCTTTTCACTGGTTGCCTGTCACTTTGAATTCTTCTCTTGGTTTTTAAATCACTGAATGGCTTGGCACCTTCTTATCTGTCAGATCTGTTGACTGAACATCAGCCTGGTGTGCGTTTCCAAAACAACGATATAACTCATGGCTGAACTGTCATAGTACAATGCATCGTTTGAAAAAGAATGTTGTACACACGAGTGCTTCCCAAAACCGTAGTTTCTCTGTCGCAGATTCATCATTTGAACTATGTTAGTTATGACATAAAATGTCCATAATGATGCACTAAACAAGATAGAGTAACTACTTCTTTAGAGAAAACCCCCATAATTTTTGTGCAAATTATATTGTTTTACACGATCACACATTTAAAAATATCCAATATTAGTTTTGGTAAAAACATGCACTCGTCTATTAATTGAAATATATGTAAACGACACATATAGATCCTGCATATGTTTCCTTTACAAATATTATTGAGAATATTCCATATAAAGTCACTAACTATAATGTAACACATATTCTAATCTCATATATAAATCATATAAATCTTCAACGGTTGCACCCCTGATGTGTTGACTGAACGCTAGCCTGGGGTGCATTTCTGAAAACCATCGTTAGCCAACTAAGGTCGCAAGGTCTGTCATCACAAACATAGTTTGTTGATTTGGCGTTGCCCAAATCCATCATTCTAACGAACATTCGCAAACTACATCGCAAATTTGTACGCTTGCAACTACACTTCTAGAGCTGTAATTAGAAGCATAGTTCCTGGCTGTGTTCTTTTTCAGGTTCCCCCCTATGCCCTATTCATTTAGAACATTCTAACATTTAAACTTGAAATTATTAAAAAAAAAAAACATTAAAGTCATCTCTCTTAGGTGTAATTTGCTTTGAAAGTCTTTTGCAGTTCAGTTTTAGCGATCTTCACATTGACAATTGCGTTCTGAACGCATCCGTGGCTCATGACGAAAGATATAGTCAATTATTTGTCAAATATATTATTTCAAAGCGGAAATTATGTTAGGTCTCCAAAGCTTGTGAAAACTAAAATATATAGCATACGTTAATGCTTTTAATTTATGAAAGGTTTTTTATTAGGAAATGTATCCTACTGACATGGGCCAGTTGGTCAAAAAAGTTCTGCAGTGGTTTGATTGTGTCAAATTGTAAAAGTAGACTTTTACAACAAATAAAATAAAATCAAAAATAAATAAACAAAAAAAAAATAATAATAATAATAATAATATTGGCGGTTCATTTCACTGTGGCGACCCCAGATTAATAAAAGGACAAAGCTGAACAGAAAATGAATGAATTATAATAATAATAACAACAATAATAACAACAATTAATAATAAGTTGGATTTTTTTTTCATTTTCTAATAAATAGCCTACTGTAAATTACAATCTTTAGTGATTTATATGATTTATAAATGGGAGTAACGTATGTGTTAACCTGTTTATGATTTAAAATAGAATATGGAATATTCTCAATAATATTTGTAAAGGAAACATATATAGGTTCTATATGTGCCGTTTACATATATTTCAATTAATATAGAAAAAGAGTGCATGTTTTTTATAAAAAAATTAATTAAGAATTGTTTTTAAATGTGTGTGTGTGTGCAAAAACAATAAAATTTGTGCAAAAATTATGGTGGTTTTCTCTAAGTGTTGTAAATGAGGGCGATGCCAACCCTCTTGTGCACCACCAGAGGGAACCATCGCCAGAATTCTGATTCGACTCACGGACTCAAAATCCCATAAGCCCTGCTACCTGGCACTGATTACGGTCCAGGTGCAACTCATCAGCTCTCGTGTATATATACCACACTCACGCTCCGGTTCGTTGCGAAGTCTTGATTTGCCTGGCTGTCATTTCTGAGCGTTCCATACTCCCTGCTTCGGACTGATCTGTGTTTCTGACCCTGTGCTTGTTCTACGATTACGAAAGACATCTGCCTGCCCCTGATCTCCAGCCTGTTATTCTGACCAGTAAGATATCTGCCTGCCTTTGAACTTTTGCCTGTCCCACGTTCTGTCTCCTGGATTGCCCCTTTGTGTTTGTTTGTATGTGTGCTCTTAATAAAGCTTGCAAATGGATTCAATGCCTTCTGACTCATCACAACAGAAGACTTCGCCACTACAGAATCCAGCAGCTTTAGCACAAGTCTCGACTGAACTTTCCACTCAAGCCACTCAGTTAGCCACCCATCATCAACAACTCACCCATCTAACTTCTCTCACGGAGGAACTGGTGAGAGCTATGCAGCAACTCCGTCATCTGAATCCTGCAGTTACCCCGCCTGCTACCATGACAGCTTCTCAACCAACGCATGTCTCCAATGCTCCGGCTACCGTAAGTCCCCGATTAGCTTTTCCTGAAAAGTTTGATGGGTCACCTTCTCGCTGCAAAGGCTTCTTATTGCAATGCAAACTATTTGTTAACCAACAACCTGCATTATATCCCACTGATTCTAGTCGGGTGGCTTTTGTATGCAACCTGTTAACGGGGAAAGCGCTGGAATGGGCTACAGCGATATGGAAGGAGGAGGAATGTAACTATCCCACATTTGAAACTTTTCTCAAGCAATTTCGGGAAGTGTTCGAGCACCCAGCAGATGGGAGAAGCCCCGGTGAGCAGTTACTTTCTCTTACACAGGGGCGTAACACAGCTGCAGAATACGCCCTGTCATTTCGCACTCTCGCCGCTCAAACTAACTGGGTTGAGGATACACTGAAGACACTATTCAGACGGGGTCTGAATACCAATCTACAATCTGAATTGGCTTGCCGTGACGAAGGAAAGAAATTGAACGAACTCATTGAACTTACCATCCGTCTTGATCATCTGATTCGCAGCCGTAGAAATCCTCGCACACAGCTCCATGTTTCAAGTGACACGCCCCCTGATGAACCCATGCAACTGGGTTTCACCCGTCTCACCCATGAAGAAAGAATGCATCGATTGCAAAATCATCTATGCCTGTACTGCGGTCAATCAGGGCACAGGAAATCCACCTGCAGCGTACGACCTCAGACACCAGTTCAATCGGTGAGTCCTTCCCATGTTCCTGCGCTTTTCAGTGTACTGATTCCTGTGATTATTAAATTTGATAAGAGAATGATTAATACTACGGCTCTTGTCGACTCTGGATCTGCCGGAAACTTTATATCTAAGAAATTTGCTTTATGTCACGAACTATCTCTCAGCTCATATGATTCCTGTCTTGCAGTGGAAGCACTAGACGGTCGTCCTGTGGGTGAAGGACGCATCCGTATGATTACGAATAAGCTACAGTTACAAGTTGGTGTTCTACACATTGAAGAAATGCAATTCTACATTATTGATTCAGTTAATCATCCACTGGTGTTGGGACTGCCCTGGTTAAGGCGACATGATCCTCATATCTCCTGGAGGGACGGACAGATATTGCAGTGGAGTGAGTCATGCATGAAACAGTGCATCCAGCCCATTCACAAAATTCCATTACGAACCACCAATGTGTTACCTGAACTCGTTGATGAACTAATCCCCATTGAGTACCATGACTTACATGAAGCTTTTAGCAAACAAAAAGCTACTCAACTTCCCCCACATCGACCAAGTGATTGTGCTATTGAGTTAATTCCAGGTTCAAGTCCTCCAACGGGTCGAATATTCCCTCTGTCACAACCTGAGCACAAGGCAATGTCTGAATATATCGACGAGGAATTGGCCAAGGGTTTCATCCGACCTTCTACATCTCCTGCTTCAGCTGGATTCTTCTTTGTAAAGAAGAAAGATGGCAGTTTACGTCCCTGTATTGATTACCGAGGGCTCAATGAAATCACCGTAAAATTCCGCTATCCATTACCCCTCGTACCTCCTGCCCTGGAACAATTAAGAAAGGCTAGATATTATACCAAGCTTGATCTTCGCAGTGCATATAACCTTGTCAGAATCCGTGCTGGTGACGAGTGGAAGACCGCGTTTTCCACCACTAGGGGGCACTATGAGTACACGGTAATGCCCTTCGGCCTGTCAAACTGTCCATCCGTGTTCCAATCTTTTATGAACGATGTCTTTCGGGATATGCTGGATCGCTGGGTCATCATTTACATCGACGACATCCTCATATATTCAAACACGATGAAGGAACATGTTGAACATGTACGTATGGTGTTGCAACGCATGATTCAACATCGTCTGTACGCCAAATTAGAGAAGTGTGAATTTCACCAGACACAGATCGCCTTTTTGGGATACGTCATCAGTGCAGAAGGGATTACCATGGATGATACGAAGGTACAGGCAGTTCAACGATGGCCGTTACCCCAGAATCTCAAGGAGTTGCAGCGATTTCTAGGTTTTGCCAACTTCTATAGACGGTTTATCAGAGGCTTTAGTTCAATAGCCGCACCATTAACAGCCATGACCAAACGAAATTCCCACAAACTATCCTGGTCCTCTGAAGCACGCCAAGCATTTAGCGATCTGAAGACTCAATTCACCACAGCTCCTATTCTCCGTCATCCCAATCCAGACCTACCTTTCATTGTGGAAGTGGATGCATCCAACACAGGAGTCGGTGCTGTGTTATCTCAACGTCAGGGTCAACCATCCAAAATGTATCCATGTGCCTTCTTCTCCCGTAAATTGACCAGCGCAGAACGAAACTATGATGTGGGAAATCGCGAATTACTGGCAATGAAATTAGCCCTGGAAGAATGGAGACACTGGCTGGAGGGGGCTAGTCAGCAATTCACCATATTAACTGACCACAAGAATCTGGAATATCTTCGCTCAGCCAAACGTCTAAATCCCAGACAAGCTCGTTGGGCTTTGTTCTTCACCAGATTCGACTTCATTGTCACCTATAGACCAGGGAGTAAAAATAGTAAGGCAGATGCACTATCCAGGCTATCAGAGGATAAAACCCCAATTAGTGATGAAACCATTATTCCTACGAACTTACTAGTGGCTCCAGTACAATGGGACATACTTACCGAGATCCAAGAGGCCAACCGAGAAAACAACCCTCCAGTAGACTGTCCGAATCACCTGATTTTTGTACCCAATAACATACGTACCAGATTACTGACCCATATTCATGACACTCCCAGTTCGGGGCATCCAGGCATCACTGCAACTTTGGAGTTAGTCAAAGCCCGTTTCTGGTGGCCGTCCCTCACGAAGGATGTAATTAATTATGTTCAGAAATGTAAAATTTGCCAAAGCACGAAGGCATCTCACCAAACCCCTGCTGGCCTGTTACAACCGCTACCGGTTCCGCAACGGCCCTGGTCCCATATAGCGGTGGACTTCATTACGGATCTCCCTGTTTCCCAGAACAACACAGTCATTCTCACGGTGGTTGATCGTTTCTCCAAGGCTTGTCGCCTAATACCGTTGCCCAAATTGCCCTCTGCCTTTGAAACCGCAGAAGCCCTGTGCAATCATGTATTTCGAATGTTTGGCTTACCTGATGATATCGTCTCAGACAGGGGATCCCAATTCACTTCCCGGGTATGGTCCGCTCTCTGTAAAAATCTAAATATTAATGTTAGTCTCACCTCAGGGTACCATCCTCAATCCAACGGCCAAACTGAACAAATGAATCAAGAAGTCATTCGATTTCTACGTTCCTACTGTCATCAGCAACAGCACGACTGGAGTCGCTATCTGATGTGGGCAGAATATGCACAAAATTCATTAATAAAGCCAGCCACGGGTATTACGCCATTCAAATGTATTCTTGGCTACCAACCACCCCTGTTTCCATGGTCCGGAGAACCCACTGAGTTACCTGCTGTCACGGATTGGCTGCAGCGGAGTGAGGATGTCTGGAACCAGGCTCACAGACATCTCATGAGGGCAGTCAGGAGGAGAGAGATTCAGGCGAACCGTCATCGACGCCAGGGACCCACGTATCAACCGGGGCAGTGGGTGTGGTTGTCGACACGAGATCTTCGTCTAAGATTGCCCTGCCGCAAACTCAGTCCCAGGCATGTAGGGCCATTCAAAATTGTACGCCAGATTACTCCAGTGTCTTTTCGCTTAGCCTTGCCTAATCATTATCGTATTTCTCCTACTTTCCACATGTCATTACTCAAACCCGCTGGTGGTCCACGAGAGGAGGCGGTTGAGGAGGAATCGGAAACCAGGACCCCTCCACCTGTCATGATCGAGGGCGAGGAAGCTTACCTCGTTCGAGAAGTGCTGGACTCTCGACGTCGGGGTGGCGCCCTCCAATATCTGGTGGACTGGGAAGGGTACGGTCCAGAGGAACGGTCCTGGGTGAATGCTAGAGATATTCTAGACCCAACTCTCACGGAAGAGTTTCATCAAAGGTTCCCAGAGAAACCAGCCCCCCGACAGCGCGGTAGACCCCGGCGTCAGGTGCCTTCTCGCTTCAGGAGCCGCTCGCAGGAGGGGGGTTCTGTTGTAAATGAGGGCGATGCCAACCCTCTTGTGCACCACCAGAGGGAACCATCGCCAGAATTCTGATTCGACTCACGGACTCAAAATCCCATAAGCCCTGCTACCTGGCACTGATTACGGTCCAGGTGCAACTCATCAGCTCTCGTGTATATATACCACACTCACGCTCCGGTTCGTTGCGAAGTCTTGATTTGCCTGGCTGTCATTTCTGAGCGTTCCATACTCCCTGCTTCGGACTGATCTGTGTTTCTGACCCTGTGCTTGTTCTACGATTACGAAAGACATCTGCCTGCCCCTGATCTCCAGCCTGTTATTCTGACCAGTAAGATATCTGCCTGCCTTTGAACTTTTGCCTGTCCCACGTTCTGTCTCCTGGATTGCCCCTTTGTGTTTGTTTGTATGTGTGCTCTTAATAAAGCTTGCAAATGGATTCAATGCCTTCTGACTCATCACAACACTAAGGAAGTTGTTACTCCACCCTGTCCATTATGGACATTTTACGTTATAACTAAAGTAGTTCAAACGATGGATCTGCGACCGAAAAACTATGGATTTGGGAAACATTTATCACTACATTGTTCTTTTCCAAAACAATGCACTGTACTATGATAGTTCATCTGTAAGTTATGTTGTTGTTTGGGAAGCGCACTCCTGGTCGGTGTCTTCGGTCATCAAATCAGAGAATATAAGGCATACCTAAATCGAGTCTGAAATACAAGGGTGCCCAAGCTTTTGCAGTAGCTAGTCCTAGATTTTGGAATGCTCTGCCGCTCTGTATTCTATCTAAATCATCTCTGTCTGTTTTTAAATCTACTTTTGATTTGGCATTTTATCAGTGAGAATTATTTGTTTTAGCTATAATTTTACATCTTTCTCTTTGTAATTTGTATTGTGCAGCACATTGGTCAACCTTTTGTTGTGTTTAATAGTGCTATATAAATACAACTGACATTGATATTGGCATGACACACAAAAAAGGCACCTCAGCTATCAGAACAAAGTCAGTGTATTTATTCAGGAACACTTTAATTTGTTGTTTTACTTCATAAAACTTTGTATAAAGGCCAGAAACTATTTTGCTAAATCTAAATGTTTAATAGTGTGCCATTTATCAGGGGTCACCACAGCCGAATGAACCGCCAACTATTCCAGCATATGTTTTACTCAGTGGATGCGCTTCCAGCAGCAACCCAGTACTAGCACCCATATACTCTCACATTCACACACACACTCATACACTACGACTAATTTAGTTCATCCAATTCACCAATACCACATGTCTTTGGACTGTGGGTCAAACCAGAAACCCACGAGAAAGCAGGGAAAACATGTAGACAACACAGAGAAATGCCAACTGGCCCAGCCGGGACTCAAACCAACAACCTTTTGCTGTGAGGCAACAGTGCTAACCACTGAGCCACCGTGCCGCCTACAGCTTGAATATACAGTTTAAAATACTTTGCTAAAAAATACAAAGGAAAACGTGTAATTGTATCTCGTGACCCCTTTAGAAGTCATTTACGAAACCATCAACCATATTATTTTAAGAGTAATATCGAAGGTGTTTCTCCTAGGCTGCTTAGAGTAAATCTCCTGCCTCTCCGATTTCTCTCCTGAGAAAAACACTTCAGAAATGTTTCGTCTGTCAAAGATTTCAATATATATGTGAGTCATTTCACATCAGATTCTTCCAAGTCTGTATGATCTGAGCTTTGCCATCCATATTCATTTTATAGCTCTATACTCCTACAGCGTGTCAACAGTTACGTCTGAAACTGCTCATATGAACCGAAGCCTTGCATGTTTTGCCTTTTTTTTTTCCTAAATATTCTAAATTCATCCGACAGATGACCCAGAGCGCTCCGTACAGGATCTGCTGCCTCTCATTGTGGGCTCTGCTTCAGCAGGATTTGTGGTCATCCTTGCCATGATAGTCATCGCTGTTGTCTGCCTGAGGTAAGAATTATCAACGAACATTCAACGGGTAAACTTCCTCCTTCTTTAAAATATCAACACAAACTCATTTCGCTTTCATTAACATGACTTGTTTGTAACTAAAACAGGTTTAATGAGGACAAAATGTAGCTTAAGTGAAGCCAAAATGACCCTTTTTTATCTTTATTTGGAATATGTGTGGTGATGAATTATGCACTGTTAAATCACATTTACTGCAATTGTGGTGGATGAAATCCAGCTCCTTTTTCACAGATTCTGATGATCTATACATAGCCGTGTTTCTATCCACATATTTTTAATGCAGATTTTGGACTAGCGCATGAAAAATGCTTAACGGAAATGTCAAATTATGCATACATTTAGAAAATTTGCACTAAAACTCCCAAGATTTATCAACTTCTTATCCGATTAGAAATAAAAAGGCACATAAACAATCATGGAAACACATTTGGTGAATAAATTCCAGGATGTGCATGATTCAGACTGCAGGATTTTCAAAGTAGTCGTGTCAGAGATGTTTTTACACTGCATGACTATCTGGGCTAGCGTTTTGTCGCTGCTTTGTTTACACTGCAAGATGGATCGGCAACAGGGGGTTTCACACTGCATGACTTTACAATAGGAAGAATCGACGACAACTTTGTCCAAACTACCTCTTACAGCCAAAAACACGCAGTATGTCTTTTGTTATTAACTACATAATGAGAAAGAAGCCTTTAATAGGGTAGAAAATGTACGTATTTGCTCACCTGGGTTTGAAGGTAATTAGCAATTTTTCCTCAACTTTCTTTTTTAACTTTCTGTATGAAACATCAAACAGACATGGGTGCTCCTGTCAAACCTCCACTAGTTTTTCATCCATTTCTTGGGTCCAAATAAACCGTAAATGAGCGCTTTTAACTTCTCCCCCAACCTCCCGCTGGCCAGCAGGTACACACACACAAGTGAATGCTGCTCTCTCATTGGCTGTAGGCGATCGCCGATATTATTTTCAGTCAAAACTCATTTCACACGGCATGATTTGAATCGCCGACAGCTCCAGATATTTAGCACACCAAATATCTTACAGGCATCGGCGACTCATCATTAATTCTCTCAGGTCGCGTCTTTCATAGTTCATACTGTGTGATTGCCACTCACGTGCACGAGCACCGATATACCTGTGATTTCATGGAATTTGTTGGCGATTTCTCAAAACCTATCGGCGAGTCTAAATTGGAGCTAAAATCTTGCAGTCTGAACTAGGCATTAGGCACGATGAGGTGACATTAATAGACAAATCAACAGACCAACCACATTGTACAACATAGAAATTGTTGTTTTGGTCATTAGACCCCAGCAGGCACACAACATCATATTTGGTTAGATATAGGTCATGATGTCAGGTGACTAAAATTCAATGTCTAGCCAACGTCTAAGGACAACGTTATTTTGACGTCCAATAACAACGCCAAATTATGTTGATATTTGATTGATTTTAAATTGTGTTGGAAAGTGACCAAAATCCAACGTCTAAAAGGCACCATTGTGGTGATGTCCACACAACGTCAAGGTGTAACATGATCAGATGTTAATAATTGGTTAATTTTAGGTTGGACGTTGGAAATTGACGTTGGGTTCTGACGTTATTTCCAAACAACATCCAGCTTCCCCATGACATTGGGGTACAACGTCAATATGATGATATCTTGACGTCCTGTGCCTACAGGGAAAATACCAAAATCCATCATCAAATTATTTTGGTATTATTACCTCCCAGAACAGTGTTTCCTCTTTTTCTCCATCTACTTATTATGAGAAAAAAGGCCCAGATTGGCTTCTCTCAGCAAATTCACTTTTTCATGTGGATATTTGACACGTTTATCAGAAAGTGATGATTTTATTCTCTCAGACTCATAGGATAGAAATTATCCTTTATTCCCAAACTCAGGGTCTAAATTTACATAAAACACTTTTTCCTGACTGTTTTTAATGCATATATAACATATAATTTTTTTTGAACATGTTTTGACTATCAGAGAGTAAAAACAACATTTTTTGCCCATTTTGGAAAGTTAAATATAGTGTTTGGGACATCTCAGATGCTGCAAAACAGTTGCAGTGTGACACTGTATGTCTGAAACTTAATATAAAACATTTAAAGTATTTTAAATAGCCACTTAAAAGCTAAAATGTGCTGTGGCCACTTAGCCCTAGGAGGTTAAAATTCACCCATTTTGCCAAAAATATATATATATTAGTATTTTGTGTCTTCAGAATGTGTTTAAAGATTCAGATTGACTCATAATTTAAAATATGTGGCAAAGAAAACCTTTTTTTTATTTTAATGGGGCAAGTAGAAAAAAATACTTGGGCTCTATTATAACAATTCAGCCGCAACGTCTAAAGCGCAGTGTGCAAATGCATTAAGGGCTTGTGCGAATCCACTTTTGCTATTTTAAAGATGGAAAAGTATGCTGTACGCCCTGGCGCATGGTATAACAGGGTTGTGCTTATTCTATTAATGAGTTATGGAAGTGTTTTGAGCATAAAGCGCATCAAACCAATCAGAATCTTATCTTCCATTCCCTATTTACATTGCTATTTACAACGTGGACTTTGTAAGTGGAAAAACTGAATGCTTCAGTAGCGAGAAAACAGTTAAACAGAGCATCTGCAGCGTGAGGATAAAGAATAAGCCTCCTCCATTCGGCCTCTTTACTTTCTCTTTACTTTACTTTTACTCTTTACTCCTTTACTTTCTTGGATAGGGAAACGATGTTGTACGCCCTTAACTGAAGACATCATTAGCCTACATATTTGATTTTGTGTGTTAAGCGCAAATATTTGTTTCAAAACTATTTCAAAATTCAGTTCTAATTTCCAGAAAACAAATATTTGTACAATAATAACGAAGTGTGGTCAAAAAAATTTGTTATATCCAAACACACGTCCTATTCTCATGCCCCATAAACTGATACATATGTCTCTAAAACCCAACAGGTGGACAAATCAAAGCTTGTTTTTATTAAAACAAATATAAATATACATATAATAAATAATACTGCTAATAATAATAACATTATACAAATGCAAAATGTCATGAATAAACTAAAAAAAAGCCCCCTAACACACCTCCTTTTCAGACCAGCACACACATGAGTCCACAAAGTGGCACAAATAGATTTACTGTTTAAACAACATGGTGCAAATTGTGAAAATTACAGCTGTGCTGGTCTGAAAATAGTAACAAATCACGCCATACACGTCTTGCGCTTTCGCCCTGTACAAGTCTAAAATTTAATACATAACGTTCTTAAAGGTCTTGAATTTGACTTGATCTGTAAAAACCATGTAAATTCCATCTGGACCAGAGAAATCACTCTAGCAGATTCCGCAATATATTCTTATAGAACTTGGTTTAACAGATTTAGAAAGTTGCTTGATTTAAACATTTGTACTCTGCATTTAGAAAACAGACATGCTTTTGATTTGCAATCACAAAATGTCCTGGATATTTGGCTAATGTCACTTGAGTCTTTAGACCAGGGACTTGTGGTAAGAAAGTAAACAGGATCCATTCAGATTTGATGTTGATTGAGCAGAGGGCTATTTGTGTTGTTTTCCGTTTCAATGCCTCAGTGCTCAATGTCAAACCAACTCAGCGGCGCAACAGCAAAATGGGATCAGAAAGAAAACAGACTTCAAAGTGCGTCTGACGTGGGATATTTATGAGACTCTCGCAAGATGCTCACTTCGGCCAGATCCAAGCGAAGACTGGGATGTTGCCAATCACTCCAGAGACGGCCGACTGCCACTGTGTCTATTTGACACATTCTTCTTGACTGTGACCGCCTTGTTGTGCCAAAGCGTCTCCTCCTCTTCGCTTCAAGCTCTTTCTTCTCTTTCATTCATGCCCTCTGCGCGAGTATCCTAATGTGTTCTTTGTGTGTGTGTGCGCGCGTCATTCTTCTCCTTCTGACATTTAAATTGGAGATGAGATGCTAATTAGCAGCAGGCGTCATTGTTAGCGCAGGTCAAGAGACAAAAGGAATCCCACAGATGGCGAATTCCAATAGGCCCCTTTGCTCCCGTTTTTCCTTTCAAACACGCTACTTATGCAGAGTTAGCGAAACAAAGAGATCTTAATGAGAAAGCGGAGATTTAAATACATCGTTCGCTGTCCTCAGACACTTGATACAAGCGTGAACCGAGCACCGATTAGCATGTACGTTATTTGTTCCCCGCTAAGGATTCAACCTATCATTTGGTGTTAATTGACTTAGTGCTTTCGGAGCAGAACCTATATTTTGTCTTATATGAACCGTGTAATGGAGCAGTCCTGGTTAAAGGCGATGACATGACAGTCTTGACGGTTGATCTTTCGCACTGCTTGTTTTGGTGACCCTGCCTTTGAAACCTACATGTAACGTAGCAATTAGCCGCAGATGGGGGGAAATCAAAAGGGTTTGATCGAAAATGAATCAATTTAAATTGATAAAATGATCTTTTGACGCAATTTGAGACACTTAATTGACGACTGAAGCAGTTGTACATATGTTGATTGTACATATGTACAGTTGAAGGCAACATTAGCTCTCCTGTGGTCAAATGTTTAAACAGAGCAAATGATGTTAAACAGAGCAAGACATTTTTCTCAGTATTTCTTATAATATTTTTTCTTCTCGAACAACATGCTTCTTGAAACAATTCTTTATTTTAGCTAGAATAAAAGCAGTTTTATTTTTTATTAACATTTAAGGTCAATATTATTAGCCCCCTTAAGCAATATGTTTTTTTACCCATTGTCTACAGCAGGGATTCCCAAACTTTTCAGTCCACGACCCCCAAAATAACAATGCCAGTGACTCGCGACCCCCAATATCTTCTGAGGTGGTTATAAATCCAGAAATCTTGCATGCAATGGCGCGCACACCAATAGACCAAGTCTATTCTTGGTTGAATTTTTTGTAATGTGTGTTAGTGCTGTAAATAGGCTTGAAAGTTTAACCTGGTGTTATAAAATTAATCTGCTGCATCTGACGCTATTGCTGTGTCTTTAATGTAATGTAATTACCCCAGGGGTTGCAATCCAATAGAACTAGTAACTATAAGCTATAAAGTAACTATATACAGTAGTACATAGTAACTATAAACAACTATTTTTTTCTTTTTTTAGTAGGTTATGAATAAAATAAGGTAATTCTTATGGTTTATTAAAAATATATAGATTTTTGGAAATCACCAGGCGACCCCTCTTCATTGTCCCGCGACCCCTCGGGGGGTCCCGACCCCCACTTTGAGAACCACTGGTCTACAGGACAAACCTCTGTTATATGACTTGTCTAATTAACCCAACTTGCCTAATTAACCTAGTTAAGCCTTGAAAAGCTAAATCTTGAAGAGTCTTGAATAATATCTAGTTTAAAAATATGCACTGTTGTCATAAAAGAAATGTTTTGATGCAATTTGAGTTACGATTGAAGCATATGAAGTATCTGAAGCACTCAATTGTTCCCCTTCTCAACATGTGTCCCAGTTGCTATTTTTTATTTATTTTTTTTCTGTGGCTGCATTGTGTAAATCCAGTCTTAAGCCAGACTCTCAGTGTGTGTATAATCTGGTTACAGACGGCAGCGTACTGGATCAGAGCTGGAGTACACTGAAAAACTACAGCAGTACGGTGAGTTCATCTTCTGCACACACTGCTTGCCAGAAATCTTTCTTGCTATACATATTTGTTGCTGTTGAGAGAGAGAAAGCTTGTGAATATGATGAAACATATTTGTAAGAAACTAAATTGGTGGATAGATATAGTATTAATCTATATTAAATCTACTCTCTGTTCAGTTGAAGTAAAAATTATTAGCCCCCCTTTGATTTTTTTTTTCTTTTTTAAATATTTCCCAAATGATGTTTAACAGAGCAAGGACATTTTCACAGTATGTCTGATAATATTTTTTCTTCTGGAGAAAGTCTTATTTGTTTTATTTCTGCTAGGATAAAAGCAGTTTTAACATTTTTAAAAGTCATTATAAGGTCAATGTTATTAGCCCCTTTAAGCTATATATTCTTTTCGATAGTCTACAGAACAAACCATCGTTATACAAAAACTTGCCTAATTACCCTAACCTACCTAGTTAACCTAATTAACCTAGTTAAGCCTTTAAATGTCACTTTAAGCTGTATAGAAGTGTCTGGTAAAATATTATTCACTGTCATCATGGCAAGGATAAAATAAATCAGTTATTAGAGATGAGTTAACAAAACTATTATGTTTAGAAATGTGTTGAAGAAATCTTCTCTCCGTTAAACAGAAATAGGAGGAAAAAATAAACAGGGGCGCTAATAATTCAGGGGGCTAATAATTCTGACTTCAACCATATATTGTATGTAGTAAATAGTTAAAGAATGCAAAATGCTTATGTAAAAACGCTAAATGTTTAGTTTATTAAATGTAAATATGCAAGAATAATGAAACAAGTATATAAATTAAAAATATATATATATTTTACACATGAAAATGGGTAAAAATATATAGTTTAAGAAGTTTAAAAACTATATACACTTACTGGCTACTTTGTTAGGTACACCTTACTAGTACCGCGTTGGACACCATTTTGCCTTCAGAACTGCCTTAAAATTTTCCCTACAGATTTTGGTCTATATTGACATGATAGCATCACACAGTTGCTGCAGATTTGTCGGCTGCACATCCATGATGCGAATCTCCCGCTCCACCACATCCCAAAGGTGCTATATTGGATTGAGATATGGTGACTATGTAGGCCATTTGTGTATAGTGAACTTATTGTCATGTTCAAGAAACCAGTCTGAGGTGATTTGTGCTTTATGAAATGGCGTGATATCCTGCTGAAAGTAGCCATCAGAAGATGAATACACTGTGATCATAAAGGGATGGACATGGTCAGCAACAATACTCAGGTAGGCTGTGGCGTTGACACGATCCTTTATTACTACTAATGGGCCCAAAATGTGCCAAAAAAAATCCCACACCCCATTACACCACCACCACCAGCCTGAACTGTTAATACAAGATGGGATGGATCTATGCTCTCATGTTGTTGACGCCAAATTTTGACCCCACCATCTAAATGTCAAAGCAGAAATCAAGACTCATCAGACCAGGCAACATTTTTCAAGCTTCTATTGTGCAATCTTGGTGAGCCTGTGCGAATTGTAGCCTCAGTTTCCTGTTTTTAGCTGACAGGAGTGGCACCCGGTGTGGTCTTCTGCTGCTGTAACCCATCCGCTTCAAGGTTCCGCATGTTGTGCGTTCAGAGATGCTCTTCTGCATGCCTCAGTTGTAATGAGTGGTTATTTGAGTTACTGTTGCCTTTTTATCACCTCAAATCAGTCTGGCCATTCTCCTTTGACCACTGGCATCAACAACGCGTTTGTGCCTTTTTTGGACAATTCTCTGTAAACCCTAGAGATGGTTGTGCCCAGTAGTTCAGCAGTTTCTGAAATACTCAGACCAGCCAGTCTGGCACCAAGAACCATGTTACGTTTAAAATCGCTTAATTTACCTTTCTTCCCCATTCTGATGCTCGGTTTGAACTGCTGCAAATCATCTTGACCATGTCTATATAGCTAAATGCATTGACTTTCTGCCATGTGATTGGCTGATTAGAAATTTGTTTTTATGAGCAGTTGGACAGGTGTACCTAATAAAGTGGCCGGTGAGTGTATGTATTCATTAAGACAATATTAACACTTCTTCAGAAAAACCTTTGTTAAAATTATTTAGTTTTTGTTCATTTTGAATAAAAATATAATTCAAGTACCATTGTTTTTTATTTTTATTTAATGTTTTATACTTGGATATTTGATTTATTTTGTTATTAGTACATGAGGTGTTTTAATCCTAAAACATTTAACAGCATAGATTTTTGCTTTAAAAAAATGCTGGGGGGAAAAACATATCTCTTGACTTCTTTGTTTTAGTATCGCCTGGTGTAAAAGTTTACATTGACCCTTTCACCTACGAGGATCCGAACGAGGCAGTTCATGAGTTTGCCCGAGAGATTGACATCTCATGTGTGAAGATAGAAGAAGTCATTGGAGCAGGTAAACCACATTTACAAGTGTTACAATCAGTAAAATCGGCATTAAGAAGAGTTTGCTAACATCCAACATCTTATTTTTCATAAACATACAGCAGATTTAAGTTTTGCTGGAGTTATGCGGCATCCCTCATAGTAACTATTAGAACAGTACACAGAGATCAGATTTGAGAAGCGGTGAACTGATAATACTGTACATGCGTGATTCAGCTGGTGAACCGAACACAACAGTACCTGACAGCCTGCTTTGTCTGAACTAAACTTGAACAACTGCAGCGCGGGTTCTGCAGCGTGAGGGGCTTAAATGAGAGGATCTGGCGAATATTAAGTTGATTTCATAACAGAAAATCGTTATGGAGTTTAAATGAGTAAGTCATGCTTCAGTTAAGTTGGAACTAATACTGAAAGTAATAAAAACTAAACTAAAACTAAGCTAATTTAGGGTGCTTTAGCACATGTTAACCGATACAGTTGTTCCGAAACAGAGATTACAATTGTTACATTGTTGCTCTTTGCTCTTGGAGCGGTTCGCTTTCACACTGCAAAGTCTCTAATCGGACCAAAAGAGCTAAAACAAGTCACGTGCGAGTAAACTCTCCTTACATTGGTCAGAGTGTCAGGGTTTATTTTGCAGCGTCCCGCTAAGCTGTCAGGAGAGGTGGTGGTTTGGTTGTGATTGACAGGGTGCACGCGCGACTTGTCTGAGGAAAGATGCGGTGGGGAGGGGTGAGAAGGGTGCGCGACGATGCCTATTTGAGGACCGGGAGGGAGACGTGAGATTACCCGGAGATCATCACTCGTTTGCGGGCATCCGGTGACTCGCATAACTTCCCGCCATACTCATACTTCTCTCTTCATATAGCCGTAAGCCTATTACATATCCATAAAACACTGATATAATCGCGATCGGATCGCTTTCTCACTGCAATCGAACCGCTCCAGGATTCATTTCAATCGAGCCGAGACCACCTCATTCAAGCGATCTCGGAGCGATTACTTTGGTGCGGAACAGAGTGCGATTGCCCTGTTCACATATGCCAAACGAACCGCGCTAACTGGGCAAACGAGACACGTTCCGGAACAAAAGTGTAGGTGTGAAAGCACCCTTAAAATAGAGAAACTAATAAAAACTTGTAAATCTACAAAAAAACAAATTAAAACTAACTGAATTTGAAAACAAAAAGCCAAAACGAAATAAAAACTAGAACTAATGAAAAATCCAAAAGTATTATAACCTTGACTATGACATGCTAATGTAAACATTGAGTGTAAGTGAAATGTTAAGTACTGAAAGGACGTTAATAGTGCTATATATGCTGGGGGTGTAAATTATGGGGCTCGATTTAAAATTAGTATTGAAATAAATGTTCTTAAAACCCTGATTTTAAAAACACACCAATAATACTAAACATTTGTTGGTATATAGCTCATGTTCATGAGAGAGTTTATTCTGTAACTAACCATATGCATGCTGCTTGCTGTTCTGTGCTTATTCATTTATGTTTTTGTCGATCCCCGTGCTCGTGCTTGAACACTCCTGTTGTTTTATGATCTGAATCACATCCCTCCTCCTCACTCCCAACTACCACTTCTAGAAAGCAGACCTAAAACTCCCACAGGCCTTAAATTCCTGTCTCCTCCTTCTCCGCAATGTGTCCCTAAACTCCTCTCTCACCCCCTCTCTCCATCAGTCCCCTGCTTATTCAGACCCTGAGCATTCGTTTCTTTCACCATCATCTCTTCCCTCGAATGATTTTTGATCCTGAGCTCAAACCAATAATCCTCACGCCCCTCCCCCACTCCCCCTTCCCCCCTTTTCCTCCTCTGTTCCCCTCATTCAGGAGAGTTCGGGGAGGTTTGTCGGGGTCGACTCAAACAGGCTGGCAGAAAGGAAACAACCGTGGCCATCAAGACGCTGAAGGCCGGCTACACCGAGCACCAGAGGCGGGACTTTCTCAGTGAGGCCAGCATCATGGGCCAGTTTGACCACCCTAACGTTATCCATCTGGAGGGCGTCCTGACCAGGAGTTGTCCCGTCCTCATTGTCACAGAGTTCATGGAGAACGGAGCACTCGATTCATTCCTCAGAGTAAGACTGAGATCATATTGAGCGCGTATTGCATTAGCTGCACTTATTAAGTTTCTAAAACACATTCCTGGCCTTATTGTGTAGAGAGCTGCAATGGAGCCCAATGGTGTTTTACACATCATTAGTGTGGCCTGACTAAATTATCCAGATTAACTAATTTTTACCCCGGTTAAAATTGCCCACAGGTACATTGTTTAAACAAAAGAAATGGCTAATTCGTATGAAATATCATTTTTCATCGTGACTAAACTAAATAAGCGCAGTGTTTTTACACACATTTCATTTCTATATAAACATCAATGAAGCAGAAAGCACATAAATGGTAAATAGTAATATGTGACTAGTTGCATAAATAGTACTGTAAATAGCAAAATTCAGGTGCTGTTTCACCGAGATGGTTTTTTTCAACACGTTTTTTTAAACAATATTTTAAAGGCCTTCTAGTTCACTCATTTTACGAGATGTAAGATAAATCTTTGTTGTCCAGAATGTGTCTGTAAAGTTTCAGCTCAAAATACCCATCAGAATATTGTTATACAATGCAGAATAAGCAAAATTTGGACACAGTCCTTGCTGCAGCCTACAGCTTGATAACGTAGTTGACCAGGTCCGCTACATAGTTGACGACCGCCTACATCTCCCCCTACCCTAAACCCAACCGTCACAGTTGCATGCGTTCTACCTTTTTGGGTGGTATAAAGTCCGCTACGTTGTTGTCGATCGCCTGCACCCCCTACCCTAAACCCAACTGTCTCAGTAGCATGGGCGCTACCTTAGTGAGCGGTACAAGGTTCACTACGTAGTTAACGATCGCCTACACCTCCCCCTACCCTAAACCCAACCATCACAGTAGCATGAGTGTAACCTTAGTGAGCGGTAGAAGGTCCGCTACATAGTTAACGATCACCTACACCTCTCCCTACCCTAAACCCAACCGTCACAGTATCATGAGCGTTTAACTTAGTGGGTGGTACAAGGTCCGCTACATAGTTGACTATCAGGTACACCTCCCCCTACCGTAAACTCAACCGTCACAGTAGCATGAGTGTTATTTAGTGGGCGGTACAAAGTCCACTATGCAGTTGACGATCACCTACACCCCCCCAACCTAACCATCACAGTAGCATAGGCACTATCTTAGTGGCCGGTACTAGGTCCGCTACATAATTGATGATTGTCTACACCTCCCCCTACCCTAAACCCAACCGTCACAGTAGCATAAGTGTTACCTTAGTGGGTGGTACAACATTTGCTATGTAGTTAACGATCGCCTACACCTCCCCCTACCCTAAACCCAACCATCACAGTAGCATGAGTGTAACCTTAGTGAGCGGTAAAAGGTCCGCTACATAGTTAACGATCACCTACACCTCTCCCTACCCTAAACCCAACCGTCACAGTATCATGAGCGTTAACTTAGTGGGCGGTACAAGGTCCGCTACATAGTTGACTATCAGGTACACCTCCCCCTACCGTAAACTCAACCGTCACAGTAGCATGAGTGTTATTTAGTGGGCGGTACAAAGTCCACTAAGCAGTTGACGATCACTTACACCCCCCAACCTAACCATCACAGTAGCATAGGCACTATCTTAGTGGCCGGTACTAGGTCCGCTACATAATTGACGATTGTCTACACCTCCCCCTACCCTAAACCCAACCGTCACAGTAGCATAAGTGTTACCTTAGTGGGCGGTACAAGGTCTGCTATGTAGTTGACGATTGCCTACACCTCCCCCTACCCTAAACCCAACCGTCACAGTAGTATGAGTGTTTCCTTAATGGGCAGTACAGGGTCCGCTACATAGTCGACAATCACTTACATCACAGGTGTCAAACTCAGTTCCAAAAGGGCCGCAGCTCTGCACAGTTTAGTTCCAACCCTAATTAAACACACCTGATCAAACTAATTGAGTCCTTCAGGCTTGTTTGAAACCTACAGGTAAGTGTGTTGGAGCAGGGTTGGAACTAAACTGTGCAGGGCTTCGGCCCTCCAGGAATTGAGTTTGACACCCCTGACTTACATCATCAAGCTGCAGGCTGCAGTGAAGACATCTAGCAAATTTGGGCTCAGAGAAAAGTGTAGCTGTCTCTGAAGCCGATGTCTTTAAATGCAAATGAGCTGGTTCTCCTTGCCTACTATTCCCACGTGTATGGTTCTGAATTATGAAGCGATTTTACTGTCTTTATTACAAACATTCTTTGTTTTAAGAACATTCTAAACTTGTAAAACTCATTCTTGAGGTGCAGCTGATCACTGAGAGGTGGAACAGATCTTTTAATATCAGTTTCTTTGCAAATCCTGTTCTGTGGACATAATTACATGCATCACTACAGACACAAGTTAATACGCATCTCTCAATTCAGTGGACGGGAAAACTCCTACATCACATTGCGGTGGGACTCAAAATCACTGGGATCTGGAGCCTATTTTAATGTCAGGAAATAACAATAAACAAAGAGACTTATTGTTTTTAATCATTCCAAACAGTTTCCTAAAGGTGATTTTGTATCATAGGTGCCCCATAATTGATCACTAATAATAAACAATTTCATAATACAGTAGTATAGGAGTTCATTTCACAGCTGTATCTCAGTCAAACTCTAATTCATTCATATTATTATGTGATGACAGTAATCATCCAGTATACACCTGGAAACAAATTCACATTTATTCTTGATATTCTCTCTTGTACCGGTGGTTTCATTATTGCTGTAAGCGGCTCAAAAACAAAACAAAAAACAGTTTATTTCATTGTTGTAGCTACAGTAATTAAATAGGTACAAATTAAACAATTAATTTAAACAAAAGAGTAAGAGTTTTATAATATTCAATCTTCAACTATTCAATGTTGTATACTCCATTACATCTTTGAGATACTATTCTACAGTATTTTCAGTTGCAGTACCTACTTGCAGCAAAGATGGTGCATACATTAAAAGAATGATAGAAAATCAGTCTTTTTTTAAGCTTAAAGTTTAAAAGTTTAAAGTAACATGTGCAGCTTTGAAAATATTCAGGGCTTCGCCTAGTCACACCCCTGGTCCCAAGAAGAAGAAGAAAAAAAGATTTGGCTTCATAATCTTTCATCAAAATTTAATAACTTGTTCGAATCCATTCCCCATAGGTTTTTTCTCTCTCTTTCTCTCTCATCGAATATTCTGTTTCAATCTGAAATACGTCACATTAACTTAAAACCCACATCTGTGGGCAGTCTCGAGTCTACACACTGACAGTGAAATTTGATAACCCCTCTGCATTAAACACTTATTCATAGTTCTTTACAGAGATTCATGCTTCACCTTTAACTAGAGTCAACATATGGCTTTTCAAACTCTTAAAATACCTAAATAATCTGCGGAAAGGCCTCATATAATCCTTCAGCTGAGTTTCTACTGTAACTCTTGATAAACAGTTTGAACCCCTGACCCTATTCCAATCCACGCAGACGGTCAGTGCCTGTTTACACACAATATTAAAATGTATTTCTGTCTATCCGATTACAAGTGAACAGTGCTAAATACAGGTCTAAATAGAGTCTTCCAGAGTATTTAAAAATGCCTAACATCCGCTAGCTTTTTTTGGTTGTTAAATCCCATAGATATATACACTAGATATCGCATACAGACCCTGCGTCAATACTGCTGCCATATTTGTGCAGTGCTCCTAGGACAAGAGTCATTCATCCCTAGTCAAGGCTAAAGCCAATGTGAAGGTGCTGGACTTTAGCTCTGCGTACGGGTGTAGTAATGAGCAAAAAAGAAAACAAAGCATAAAGGCAGAACATTACCTAGGTAAGATTTCGTTTTTTTTATTTTTGTATGTTACGAACTTTTGTGCTCAACAAGTAAAGTTATTGATGATAATACAGACCATAAGGCAAAGTAGCACCAACTCACACTCAATACCAGGCTTATGCTAGTTTTGTTGAATAAAATCAGCAAACAATATAAATGAAATATGACAACAAGACGCTGCCATGTGAGAAACTTATTGTCGGCTAAGTGAAGTAACAGCTAGTTTTTGAAGTAACTAATAAAGGTGCCTGATAGCATAACAGTGCCTCTGCCTCAATGTGCATACTGTCCACCCGAAATTGTTGAATATTACAAATGTTATTTAGCATTTAAATCAGAAAGGTGGATATCCATATTGAGATGCAGGGATATTGATGGTTCATGCGAGTCGTTCAAAACGGAGATTCATTCACAAACTAATCGCTATTAGAATTAGAAGTGGATGCAGGAGAGGGGGTGTGTTTCAGGACACGGATTAGTTTCAATTGAATAATAAAAACATGGAGGGAGGATATTACATTTCCATGCACACAATCACAACGCCTGTGCGGTCACTTATCCATCAATATAGAAAAGTGATGTAAAATTATAATTTTCGTAATTTAAAGGGCACATAGTTTACCCCTTTTTTTAAGATTTAATATTAATATTATGGTTCTTCTGAGTGTGCCGGTTTAGGTTCAGTTTCTTGGTCCCACATTTATTTCAAAGGATCGCTACTCTGTACTAAAATGGCGTCTTTGTTGATGCATACCTTCCAATAGACAACAACAGCGTAGACGACATCTAATGTAAATATCTGTGGTTAAATCCATTCAAAAATCCACAGAAAACTTGCTACTCCCCATCTACGGACGTTAATGTAAACATTGCATGTGGTGTTGATGGCATGTATTAAAGGGACACTCCACTTTACACAGAATAAGCACATTTGCTACTGCCCTATAGTTAAACAGTTGAGTTTTACCATTATTAAATCCATTCAGCTGATCTACAGTTGTGTCAGGAGCGCCTTTAGCTTAGCTTAGCATAGATCATTGATCATTGATGATAGACAACTCAGGTTCGTAGATAAACTATGGAAGGGTTATTGCAGAGCAACACGAACAGCATGCAGAAGTATAGATGCACGGCTACACGGAAGGCAGATGCCGTGGCTACTGTGAATCGCTCGACGCAGGTGTATAAACCAGTTCTGGATC